CAGCAGCGGCGAGGGCAGCTGTCGGGGGCAGTGGGTTGGCGAGGCGTTCACTTTGGGGAAGTTGATGGCGGCCGGCGAGCGGGCGCCCGGCAGCGTGGGTGACTGTGACACGCTGGGGAAGTTGATGCCGGCCTCCATGGATCGAGCGTCGAGTCGTAGCCGCGATGGCTTGGCCGGCGTCGGCGGTAGCCGGCGCCGTTGGGCCGGCAGGCTCTGCGCCGAGGCCGCGGGACTAGCGGACCGCGCACCACCATAGTGGCGCTCGGCGCCCGCGCGGCTGGGCGAGGGACTGCGGGACCGTTGGCCCAACCACGTGCTGCTTCGGTACTCTGCCGACCCGCGGCGGCCGCGCAGCGGAGAATCTCGCAGGAACTCATCGCCGTGGAGACGCGCTGGGAAACAGAGACAGCAGAGTCAATCGGGGGCGACACACGACGGAGCATTCGAATAGGTCCCAATCACACGTCGGCTCTACTCAGATAACTTGTTAGACATTCACTTGTTAGAATGTTAGACATTCAGCCGAGAAGCCTCTGAAAACACTAACGCGCCTACGTCATCGCTTCTGACCCTGAATATCTTGACAGTATGTCAAAGAATAGACAAAGTTCATGAGAAAACTTTCATCAGTGTCACTAACAACTCATACGCTTTGTATAGCTTCACCGTTCAGTACATGGAGAAAGCCCCGCAAGTGAGAAGAAGCGGGTTGTCAAGAGACGTCAGAGGCATTCAACTCTGCTATCTATGGGGTGTTAGATCACAATTTCAAAAGCCTGTCAACATTTGCTAAGTGAGAAAAAGAGGCACCAGTTCATAGTATGTCTACTTCTACTGTTTTGGACACAGTATAAGAGGAAAGAAAGTAACGAAGACAATAGCATCCGCAATCGTTTTGCTTCAGTTCATGCGACTCTTAAGGCATCTGGATACATGGCAAGCAGAGACTGTAGAGAGAAAGGAAAGCGCAATTCACTGACTGTGAACTCTGCTTTTTTTCAATCTGACGACAAGTGTGCTAAATTGTAGTCTGCTACGTAAACTCCAGATACTACCATATTTTCTGTGACAGAAAGATTGGGAAGGGGAAAAACATGTAAAAAATGGTCGACGAAGGTGAGTGCGCCACCCTCGCGTCTTTTAAGTTCTACCAATAGGTCTACTACAAACACCGTGTTGCTGTCCATTTTCTTGCTTATTAGTATGCGCACTAGGTCAAGACTTTGGACCTTTAAACATCGCCACATCACTACCATGATGGCGCATGTTGAACACAATATCAGCAGCATGGGTCACGTATAAGTTGAATTTTAGGAACAATGGCGTGGTTCAATAAACTAATAATTGCTAAAAAATCTACAGTACCATATGAAATGAGCAAGATGAATTTGATGTATCTGATTTTAGTAACGGCAGCATTTCTCTAACTAACGCGATAACAAGGCAACGCCAGTGCACGAATGCATCACTATGTACTTCTTACTTCATGCGAAAGTTTAGTGTCTTATACATATGAAAATACCCTGGTGTCATTGTACACGTAACATACATATAAATGGGTGCTCTGTGTAGTGCAGTGCATTGCACATGTAACACAATATATGCGAATTACATGCACATATTATTCTGACACATTCTATTGTGTAGGTGATTATGGTGAGTTTCGTTTTCATGTAGGCGAAGTGAAGGCTCCAGGAGTGGTCACGACTTGACTATGACTTCGAGAATTCGGTGGGTATTCACGTAGATGATCACATGTTCGTTGATTTTAATGACATACGGGCTCATCGTCTAATGCGTAAATGCTATAAGCAGGAACTTCTCTGATGACAGCTTCAGTCCCCTTTGTTCAAAGTACTTTGTCGCCACTGTAGCTGCTCTCTGAAGCCTGGCACGCACGTGGAGGCGTGTTATGCCTGGTGCACAGATGCACATGTCATCTGCATGTATTGATAGATGAACTGATCGTGGAAGTACGTCAACAAGGCTGAGGAGCGCTAGGTTGAAAAGTGTGGGGCTAAGAACACCACCTCGACGCACACCCTGACATTTGCAATGATGCGTTGTTGTGCCATCGTTGCTGGAGAACGTGGGGTGCATCTGTGCGGGCGATGCTTCCGCTCTACACTGTTCTGTTTCTCGGTTTTATGCGCTACAGCTTACCTGTACTCTGCGGGATCCGAATATCGAACATACGCGTCCTCCAGTCGCTTCAAGCTGAAGCACTGCGAATATGCCTTGGCCTTCCGATAAGCGCATCTACAGCAGTGACCGTCGTCATTGCGCGTGATTATTCAGTCAACACATACATACCCGTATATGCCTTGAGAATGCACTTAGGACATTTCGCTCGGATTCCATTGCATTACCTCGCCTCCCTTCGAACTTCTAGGCCCCACTCAGCGTTCAGTGCAACTGTAGCTCAGCATTGCGCCAAGCTTCCATCGCACTTAACGTATGCGATACGTCTGCCGTTACCATTGTGATGTCTGCACCCGCTCAAAGCTCTTCTTACCATTCCTGGAATCTAAAAGAAGAAACAGTAATCGCATCTAGCCCTGAAACTGCTCTTGCACGAGAAGCACAACGGACGCCTTCACATTTAACGGAAGACTGTTTCTTCACTAAGATCAACAGGGGTGGTGGTTATTTCCACGAAGCCCGTCACAATTAAATTCAAGACATCGCATTTGACGTCATCGATCGCTGCAGAACTCGATGCCACACGTGCAGCTCTGGGGTGTATAGTTCAAGAACCTTCGGAAACTTGGTCCATCTTCTCGGACTTGAAGACGGTTTTTTAATGTCTCATGTCAGTCTTTTGCCATGGACCTAATGAACAGTTAGTAGCCGATATAAGGCTTCTTCACCACCAAACAATCGAGAGAAAACCCAGCATATCGTATCAATGGATACCAGGTGGTTGCGGTAGATATGGCAATGATCACACAGATGAGGCTGGTAGATCTGCACATGATGGTACGCAATACACAGCCATCCCGTTCTCAAGAGCTGATACAGCTACAAAGCTTCGTTCGCTTGCACGTGACCTCACATTGGCACAGTGGAACTCGATGGACGTCACAAACATTTGCCTACATAACTTGGATTCCAATCTCAAGCTTCGTCTTTCCTCACGAATATCTTGAGCTGAAGAGACTCTTCTGTGCCGCCTGTGACTTGGCATGTCCTTCATGAACGCATACTTCTTTCTTATAGGAATGGTCAGAGCCTCAACGTGATATGACTGCAGCTGCGGAAAAACCATCCCCCATCTCGTGAGCGAGTGTACCCTTTTAAACGCGCCAAGACAAGAACTTACCAAAACTCTAGATAGACTATATAATCGGCCTTTGTCGGAACAAAGGATTCTGGGTCATTGGCTGAGTCCATCCTCAGCCCAGAAGGCTTTTAAAGTTTCATTACGATTTTTCGCGGTCTGGGAGACATACTTTAGTGTCGTACTCTCTTTAATTTTCCTTTTCCTCTTTCACTATCTTTCGTCTTTTCTCTCTCTAGTAACATCTCTTTTTTTATCATCTTTGATTCCCCCTTTCCCAGCACAGTGTAGCCAACCAGTCTGAGTATACTGGCTAACTTCCCTGTTTTTCCGCTTATTCCTCTCCTCCACATTTGTACAATAACCTCCCTTTCCTTTCGTTTTCTCCTTCTCCTACATTTTTACATAACGATAAAATCAACCCAACATTACGAAGGGACACTTAGTGGATCAGTTCAAATAAAACAGCGGTGCTGCTTAACATGCAAAGCGAAAAATGAGAAAAGAAGTAAAGTGTTTAAAGAGTAACGCATTAAAACAGTTGTATGGTGTATGCAGATGCGCTATCAGCGCCTATGTCGTTATCAAGAATGCTTCTCAGTGTTGTTAGCACTTAAACATTGAATTTGTTGGTGATAAATTTATTTTTTTCAATGACATTTATCTATAGTAATGCCTATATGCATGAACCTTGACAAAATGTAGGTTCATAATTTTTGCTGAGCCTTCAACTTCGTTGTTTTACAAAACTACACCTTAAAAAATGCCTCCACAAGCAGCCATTTTATCTAAAAAATCAACGGGTTATTTTAATTCACTTTGCCTTGTAAGTCTCATAATGCAAACATCAGTTATTAGGTTATAGGAAATTCTGGCCCGATTGTATTCGTTTGTTTCATCTTGGATCGATCAAGACAGCAGGCAGTAAGAGCTCCAGTGACTCAGCAACTGTCACATGAAATAATTTGAAGCCATTTTCGCTTTTAACAAAAATCACCGCGTCCGTCACAAGAGGATTCAGCTAGGCCTTGACAACCCTGCTACAGGGACTACGAACAAAACGGTCTGCGTTTCTGCATGAAAAGTGAGTGGTTCTGGTTCTACGTGATGCATTTGGTGCTATGAAGGAGGTAATCTCTACTCTTACATCTTATCCTACGAGTCCTTTTGCCCTGAAAAGCTCATGGGCATCACAAAAAGAGTGCTATTTCACGAGTACGCTAAACACATTGTTTTTCCAGGTCTTCGAATGGCTCTAAAGGAAATATCTAGCGTGGTTATAGCTTTTACGTGATATACTGACGTCAAGTGATTCGTGGTGAAATATGACGTAAAAGTGACGCTAAGGCGGAGCTTTTGCCAGCCAGGATTGTTTTAGGCTAAACAAGCTTTTAACAGTATCCCCACTGCCATAACCACTATGAAGGCAAGATTTCACGCAATTAACACAGAAAAAAATACGAGCACGCATCGATGCGATTGCACCGACAGTTGTTCGAACTGCTATGTCACCACTAGAATATGCTGTGGTGAAGGCACTGGCACGCCGAGGAGGGACGACGCACCTCTGGCTCGGCCACGGCGACTCGTCTCGTACTTGACCTTGTCGACCAGGTCGCTGACAGCGTCCGAGAACCCCGCGGCTGATCGTCGCGGCGACGGTGACCGGCGCAGCGGCGACGCACAGCGGCTCCCCTGCGGCGACGGTCCCAGGGCGATGGAGTCCGGCCTCAGGCGGGCCGGCGGTCGGTCACCCTGCGCGCGGCGCCGCAGCGTCAGGCGCGGGGGCTCGCGCGGAGGCAGTTCGCGCTCGCGTGCACAGTGCGGCGGGTGCTGCCCTGGGGGCGTCGGCGGCGGAGGCGCGGCTGAGGCCCCCCCGGGAGGCGTGCAGGTGCGGCGCATGCAGCGTGCAACGGCGGCAGGCAAGCCGGCGCCCGCAGGGCCGGCGCCCACCTTCTCGGTGGCCGGCGGCGGCGCGGTGGGCGGCAGCGGCGGGGGCCCCGCCTGGGGCCGGTGCCGCCGGCTGCTACCCCGACGAAGGAAGCTCAGGGACCGCTGCCATGGCTTTTCCGATGACTGGCCGTTGCGCTCCATGCTGTCAGAGACAGAGACACGGCATCCAGTAAGTCACACCTGCCCCTCAAGTACATCAGCGTCACACGGAAAGCGGCCTTTTCCACAGCATAACCCTTAGTGTGGCGGAGTAATAAAACTACGGAGTGTCACACTCGCATTGATGGAGTATCATTGGTACCAATAGCGATGCACTCCCTCACGCTCACACCGTCGCTTGGAACTTGTAGCACTTGAACTTACTGAACGTTACTGTAACATTGGTGGTGGAAATTCACTCTGGGTGTCGCTTTGTCGGCTACAGCAAAAATACAGTGAAAGGAGGGCAAAACAAAGTAAAGTTATGTTTAAAAAGCATCTTGCTCATAATGTTAAAGCTGCGTGGAGAAGCCCGCTTTCGAATTATCGCATATGGTTATTGCGTGAGATCTCAGGAAAGGGAGTCGCGTTGCAACATGCTGCCGACAAGTTCGAAACTGTGAAACGAACGCCTGACAGAAGGCGTTGTCTTATGTAGCTGCACTGAAATTTCACGACCTGCGTGTTCGTACTTTGTACGCAGTTTTTATGTCAATCCTATCAAGAAATTATACCGTAACTAACTATATTGAGAATTAACTGCATGTAACTGACCTAAATCGCAAAAGCTCCCCATGTGGCTCATATATAGTTGACTCTCGCGTTAATGTAAATCAGACTTATTCGAAACTGAGGATGGGTCTCATGTTACATGATCAGCTTTCCTTGCGCAAACTTACAAAACGAACTGCCCACATCAAAGAAATACATACAAGATGTGTTTTGTATGCCTTAATACGTACACATCTTGTATGTATTTCTTCGATGTGTGCAGTTTGTTCTGTAAGTTTGCGCAAGGAATGTTGATCATGTTTGCCCAACTAGCCTATCGTCAATTTTTTCTTGTGTAACACTTCCGAAGTTTTCTCATGAATACAGGATAACAAATTTCCACACCTCTCGGCGACGTGGACAAAAATTCGCTTTGGGCAAGTTTTGTTGTTGCAGCAGCGTGCTACTTAGGATTATGTTAGAATAAAACTACTTTTGGTGACTGTTACGGAGCACTGCAGTGTTCTAAGTGAACATTGATTAACCAACACATCTTAATCAGCCTCCTTACGCTGAAACACATAAATGAGGTAGCTAGCTAGCTAGCTAACTAGCTAGCTATATAGATAGATAGATAGATAGATAGATAGATAGATAGATAGATAGATAGATAGATAGATAGATAGATAGATAGATAGATAGATAGATAGATAGATAGATAGATAATGTTCTCTGGCAGTGCGCGGCTCCTTTCGCATGATGCGGTCACTTATGTGGCGTTCGGTGTTACGCGTAAGAGCGATTTTTGGTCGCAGGTCCTCACAGTACGCGCTAGCTTAGACTGTACCAAACCCCTGCCGTGCTTCTACTTGTTACTCGTTAGTACTACAATTTTTCCGTCACGTTAGCAATGTATACAAACTAGAAGCAAATATGTAATTTAGAAGACGCTATCCCTTTGAGTGATATCAAGCTGCTATAGCACCGTATAACCGTTTGAATTTCCCTGTCGCCTTCGTTTTTTTTATGGTCACACTGGGCACAGAAGCTTATGACACTGCTTAATGTATAGCTAAACTTGCTAGCATTACCATCTCTAAAATGGCTGAGTTTAAAATAACTGGAAAAGGCGGGATTTACGCGGAACGTATGCATTGGGGGCAGCAGCTTGACAACACATGCCACACAGTACTGAGACTCAGCAATAGCAGATATGCGATATTCATAAACAAATTTTTTCTCGTATACTTTCGAGAGCACAGAAAAATACATGCAAGATCACTGAATGTAGCCCGTTCAGAGATTATAAAAATGATTTAGTTCAATCCTAAAAGTTACTTTTGTTTATCGATGTTACGCAGTGTGGCTTTACCGACAATTTTCACGGCTAGCGTTTAGATCAAAAGAAAGAAAACAAGTAAACGACATTCCGGTAAAAAGTATATGCGAGGTTTTCCAGGATAAAGGGCGACAACACTGATTTATGAGAGTGTAATTATGAATAATAATTTTTTTCCTAGAATACTATTTACATCGAAACTGGCTTTGCAATAGCTGTTCTCTGATAGACTAATACATGCTGTCTGGCAATAACATTCCAGGAGCGCTTCTTACGTCATGGTAACAAACTAGTATACCACCATCTTGTATGGGCTACAGAAGTATCGACCTACATAGTCTATGTATACAGTGAAAGAATGTGAGAATAATTGGAAATGTACCGCATGACTTGCGCAATAAACACATTTTGTTCTGTCCTTATGTTACAAAAAAAAACAACCTTACCTGACAGAAATATTATACTCTTGCTGAACTGTTGTCTCACTTTCATTTATACCTGAAAATCTCGTAAACGGTCTTCTCGGTGCTCAAATGAAATGTCTTGATTATGTTTATTTACTAACAAGTGCTGCAGGCTCTATAGGGGCCCATGCACGAGTGGCTACGTCAATGGAAGTAAACAAACGTAGAAACAGAATATACAGGTAAGTTATTATTTGAAATAAGCATTTATGAATGTAACATTAATAGTAATGCACGAACAATAAAAAATAAATATAATGCGCAACGCAAAAGAAATAACAAAAAACAAATAAACAATATGCACCACGCCAACGTGATAGCTAGCTACATTAAGAAATATACAAAAAAAAATTCTAGTTAAAAACTTTATGCAGAAAATGCAGAGACGAGTTCACAAATTACCTCCAGTATGTCATACTTTGGTACTAATTTTAACAATAAAAAGAAAATCTATTTAAAGGATAAGGGAACAATTGTGTTGTGGTAGCATGAATTGCTTCTTCTGATAACTTGTTCTGTAATGCAATTGCACGAAGCAATGGCGCATGTTGAGGAGCCTAAATGGCTGCTTAAACGTTTTATTGTGGTGTGTTCGACCAAAGCGCCGGTAAAGCTCGATAGCGTAACGTTAGCGCAATAATTTAATATGATCATGGTAAACCCGATAAAAAAAAGATTGTTGGGACACCGTTATGCGAAACGTGAGGTTTCGCAACATTGTTCTATTGCAAAGGCAGATACACTGGAGAGGTGCGAATACGTTTACCTAATTTTGTTGTTATGCACCCAGCGATGAGAATTCTTGACGAATGCGGTGAAAAAACAGCGAAACGCTGATCAACATTAATTCACTTGACGTTTAGAATGTGTGTACAATATCTTTTCCAGTGTAGTCTATTGGATGATAAAAAACTGTCTATTCGGGCAAGAGGTAATTTAGTGCAGTGCACTGGTATTACAATATCACGAAGAAAACAAAAGTTTCTTTGACGCCAATTTTTCCGAAATGAGGTTGATGTAACTGCATGTTGCGGCGCAGTCCTGTCTCCGAAAAAAATGACGTTGAATATGAACAAATTAAATTCCGGCATCAGAACTGTGTGATCTAAAGATAGTAACTGAAAAGTGAAATTTTAATTGTAAACTTGTTGTGGGAGTTCAATCTTCCCATCTATACATGTCTGCTATGATATTAGAAATGTACCATTCAATAACAAAGTCTCAAAAAAGAACTGTTAAGGTTACGCACACGTGCACACCATTTATAGGAGACGCACGGTCATTTTGCTGACGCATTAAAAACAAAACAACACACAAACAAAACAAAACTTGTTGTAAGAATAAGTGTTTGCGTGAGGCTTGTATCTGCTGACTTCATATTGATGGTTAGGTGTGGATCCACTCTTTAGCAAACGCTTTCCGGCGTACACGTGCTAGCACGTTCACGTCTGTCTCGCCTACTTTACAGAATACACAAGGTCTACAACTCGAAATATTAAAATGAAATTTCCTCAGCTATAGAAAAATTTGGTTAGATTTTTGTGCTTGAAAGAAAATAGTTTCGTGGATTTATGGGCCCCGAAAAGCCGCGTTTATTTAGAGTTAGAGTTTTTATTTTTAGGGTGAACAATTCGATATAAAATCTTGGTAAATTTACTGCCGAATGGATCAAGACCATGTATCGACAAGAAAATCTATTGCTTTCAATAACCACGTCGCAAGGTTTTTCGGCATCACAGCTTACTTGCATTGTACTATGCGCGCTCCTGGAACCTTATTGTCGGAGAATGGGTCATGAATGAAAAGGACATTGCCGCATGACCTACGAAAACACTGCGAGAGGCTCGGTTGCTGAATTCGCTAAGGTTAGCATCACACATCTGGCAGACTTCGTGGAAGCCGTGAAGAGGCAGCTCGCGATTGAGATATAATTTCGGTCTAAGAGATCGGATAGATGACAACACATCAAAGGTACGACGCCATCAGTTAGCCATGCGCAGGATTGCGAAACCTAAGAAAAAAACCGCATGCCACAGAACGTTCCGCAGGAGGTGACCGACATTTAGAGATAGCAATCTTTGGACAATGCAAAGAGGTTCTACACTACAGTAATGCTGCTAAGGCATGCATAATGAAACACTGAGAAAATGATGCTTCTCATCGTTTAGCAGGCTTTTGTCGACACAATGGAATCCTCATACTTTTCGGCGCATACAAAAGTGGGCAAGTTTTTTTCTTTTGGTGCCACGACATAAATTGAATGAGCTACGCCTAAGCCACGTGTGGAACACGACCCCGTGATTCTGACAATGACACTGCAGAAACAGCAAAAACTGCCGTGTGCCAATTTTGCCTTTCGTAAAGCAAAGTTAACTTGAAAAAAAAAAAGGCCTTGGGCGGGCGAATTACTGGCGCGCAGAGTGAAGGTACTGCGACGGACTTTTGTTCTTCTGGCGCAGATCAACTTGGTACAGGAGCTGGTGGAGGGGAACTGCCTAGAAGGAGGAAGAAGTAGTTCTAAGAATGGTGCAAAATTATGGAGAAACCACCCTGGGTTTTTCGAAAACCGTGCTTCAGAGTGCTACAGTAAAAAAACGTATAAAGTGAATTTACGATCTTAGAGGCGTGTGGCTCATTCGTAGGAACATTCGATACATTGCAGACAAATTGAAGTCGGAAAGATGGGTTTCCCTGAATCCTCGTTAGCCGTTGTCAGATATCAGGAGCACTAGGCGTGATCTTCGTTCGTTCCATCACAACGGTGCCATCTTATAGTTCTCGTGATCGACGCTGGCGAAACGAGGCTTACAGTTGTAGTAGGATTTAGTGAAAAATCACTGAGGAGCACGTGACCATCAATGGTTAAGTGATCCTCGCCCATGACACTCGAGTCTCTCAAATCAACATGTGTTTAGTCTACAATAAAGAAAAAAAAGCTCAAGGGCGCACTGGCTTCTCCGAAATATTCATTTTCACACTATGAGAACATCCCATATGCCGACTTCAAGATCAGTTAAAGTCAACTCGGATTATACCACAACGCCAGTTCGAGCGGAAATAGTGTCTTCGTATATATCTGGGAAATGGCGTTGAAAAGTGATGAAGAAGGTTCCTGCATGTATGAAATGCTATTACGAGTTCCACAACTTCCATCATGCCTCCATGTCAGGCTTCAGTCACGCCCTTGTACAAGAACCCCAATGCAAGGCAGAAACGGGCATATCGTGAGGCGTGCGTAGCTTGCCTTAATGCTGAATGCCATGCATGATATCATACCCACTCTACAGCGCAGCACAGACTATCATATCGATGTCACGATCATTTAGTGAAACAGAAAGCAATTTTAGGGTGCAGTAATCAACCAAAGACTTTCGTGCTGGTACATGAAACACGAGACAAGTTAGGGTTGTTCTATAGGCGAATAGAAAATCACACCTTGGGAATGGAATGGGACGCTAATGGGTTTATGGTGAGTAACTTGGAGCGCATGATATTGAGACAATGCAGCCACAAACACTCATTACAAAAAAGTTAGGTGTGCAGACACGGACACAAGATAGGGGAAACAGACAACGCAAACTGACAATTTCTAGACGTGGTTTCTATGAACTTCCCCTGCACACTGCTTATGTTCATCAAAATTTATTTCTGAAATGTGTGGCTACTATGCCACTTCAAAACATTTCGGCAACCTATCACAAGACAGAGTAAAAAAACTGTTTAATATCCAAAATGAAAGCTCGATATTCACCAGTATTCTTCTGTGTGAAAAACTAAACTAGTTCCCGTGCTTTATCTGTGCTAGGTATACGCAAAAGGGGTCTGAAAGACTTAGTGATGTGAACTAGTTTTGCACATAACTAGCAACAACATATCGTCAAGTACCCTTTCTCTAGCAGCTGGTAGGAAAAAAAAATCGTGTTCTTGGGTGCTAGCTGAAAAAAAAGCACAATTCTAAAGTCAGTGTCCTTGTCTTGTTTACGTTCAGAACATTGTTATCTATCGTACATCTCATTAGGAGATGGATACTGCGTTGCTTAACTACTGACACTATGCTTAACTACAGACATTTTTCACATCAATACGCTTCTATATTGCTGGCTGAGCGTTTTCTAAAAAACAACAGTCTTTCTGATGTTATGATGAAATAACTTTCCTTCTGAGATACTGCGCGTATAAATTGCCTCTCTGCAAGATAATGATCCGTAGGTCGCATCGAATCAAAATATTGTGCGTATGAAAATGTCTTGATGCTGATGGCATAATCAAAAATGCAACGCGAGTGTTCTACAAAGTCCAGTCCGGAGCCACGTCTACGAGTTTCGAGTGAAGCGATAAATTATTATTTATGACATAAAACTACCGTTTTGTCCAGCACTTCTGTATCCCAGTGTGAACTAGCTGTGGAAAATGGACGTCTGTGGCATCTGTTTTTTTTCTCTTGTGTGCGTGTCTGCACGCCAAATTTTTCTGCTGTGAACCCTCCAACGATCAGTTCAACTTACGTACGTTCCAAGCAAACGTTCATACAACGCTTGTACAGGTGTTTTCATTAACGCGTGGTGCAAGCCATCCACTAGTGAAATCACATTTCGATGGTGGCCTGGACGCAATGGCATATGGAATAATTATTTTGCCGACAAGGTTGTCTGGTCAACCTAAAACCTGCACAGTTCGGTTGATTTTGCCAATCTACGCTGAGTAAAAGCTCACTTTTATACTCGAACTATGACACACACTAACTGGTATGGACCCTCCCTAAAGAAACTGCAAACACCACCCTTACTTTCCGGTTTGATGTCCTACAGTGCGGTGGTTTGTCTGGTGCTTTAAGCTTTTCCGGAGGCTAGCTTGCTTATTTTTTCCTTATTAAAATGAGTAAGTCAGCCAGTTGTAGCTATTGTGGGAATGATGATACTATCTAAGACAATTTGTATCACCGCAAGTGGTACGACGCAAGGCGTGGACCCTTCTGAGCAGGATTAAAATGTGAATGGGCTCGTGAGCCCTTTGCGAAGCAAAGATTCTCGAAACATGACCACGTGCATCGCTAGTGGAGCAAGAAACAACGTTGCTGCAGCCACTCTTAAAGTGGACCTGTGTCATGGGTTTTAAAATAATTCACGTGCACTTTTCGTTGACGCGTATCTAGTGCTAGTTCTCTCTCTTCTTTCTGCCCGTTAGCTCCTTTCTTGTCTTTTCAACTCAGGGCAGCAGAGTGAACATGCGTCTAGATAACGCAGTTTTTATTTTCTGCTGCTACGTCTGACTTTCGCAGTTAAAGGTGCATGGAAGGACGTAATACTGATTTCCCTAATATACTATGGCAAAATAAGCCTAGTGAAATATTATCAGGTTTTATGCCGATGCTAACAAACTTCTTCAGTGAATACGGCAACAATGCATAGGTGGTTCACCTTTTGCAGATATAGAAGGATGTCGTTATTCTTGGAGAGGGGAATGATTTTCATGTTTGAAGAGATGTGAACATCGGTTAGGGCTTTCGAAGCCCTCCACTACGGCGTCTCTCATAATCAAATGGTGGTTTTGGGACGTTAAACCCCACAAATTAATCAATCATCAACATCGGTTAGGGCACGTCGGCCATTAGTTCCACATGTAAGTGTAGTTAATTTCTAAAACTCCAACACTAACAGGGCAAATATGAAATCCGTATGTTGCGCCAACCTGGGCATATAGATTGATGGCACAATTTTAGAAACGGTACCACACAAAACAAGTCGAAATAAATGCACGAACTCGCCTTTGAGGAAGCGCCACTCAGAAATACATTGATTTACTCCGTCTTACGATACGTACATTCAACACGAAAACCTACGATGCGCACATTCCACAACAGAACAACTACTTCATCAGACTGAAGTAACTGCAAGTTGTTGATAGCTCGTAGCCTGTTCTTGCAAGCCCTCATTATGTCATGGTTTAATATCCAATTTCTCTACAGCTAGAGAGGAAACATAATCTAGAATGGTTCTCAGCTGCGACCATCTGTACATCCGCGATCAAGGCATGTATTCTTGTTGTGACTTTTCTTGTCCATTTATTTGTTCTTTTTGCGCCCTTTCCTCTCGCCCGTGCGTGGTCACCAACTGGAAGCAAGCTAGTCAACCTTCTTTCCATTCCTTTGACTTTTTATATCTACCTCTTCCCGGATTTGCTCATGACAGGCGAAGTCTCAGTGCTCAAAGCTCTTTCTAATGAAAGAGATAGCTTGACAAAATTTTCTCCTACGCGCTTGCATCAATTTGACGGAGAACAGCCTGCTAAGCTTAGCGTGGCCAACAAAATATAAAAAGCAATGCTCACCTAAGAAGAGACCACAGAAAATGCATTGACAGCATCTTTTCAGCTGATACTCATGCGCTACCACAGGGCGCACTGAATGTTGCGAAAATTTCAAAGATACGGGGGCCTGGTGTGTTGTCTGTGGCGACGATTAAAAATAGTAGGTGCGTCGTGAGTAGAGAAGATCCTTAGCCTAAACTCCTATGGCTTTAGTCTGCACGTGGCATCGCATGAACCAAAGAAAAAAAAAAACCCGACACAGACAATGGAATGCAGGCAGTGTTGCGGACGATGCACGAGACCTCGGCAGTGGACCACCAGCAAACCGAGTGAATTAGTGGACCACCGGTGATTCAAGCTGAAGCAAGCGGAAATCCTAAAGAAGTGAACGTCATACACGAACTTCCTGAAACGCGGATTCAAGTGAAAGAAATCTCCGACCTTCTTGGCGTGGCTGATTTTTAACTGCTACTTGCAGATGTGTAAGTAAATTTGTTTACCTTGCAATCAAAGCGAATCAAGCAACCGTTCCACCCAGGCCGTCCTAAGTTTCACTTGCCACTTACGGCACTTAATGCGTGGAGGACGTTGCTCACCTGAGGCTCGATCGATGTAGCGAGCCATGCCTGGAAGGCGGCTGCAGGTGTCCGTCGTCCAGGTGTGCCTCGTCCTGGTTCAGGCTGCCGTGGCTGGCTCGGGTGTTGGAGTTGCGCACGGCGCCCATCAAACGCTGGAGCAGGGACGGTCGCTGCGGCCGCGCACGCGTCGACAGAGGAGGACCCGGCGAGGAAATACGCACGCGCTGTATAGAGCTGCTGCCGCAGGCCGCGGCCGTCGCCGCAAGCGCCGCCACGCTGCCTTCCCCTTCTCTGCGACACTGTGCCTACTCGGTGGCGTGCATGGGTACCTTCATGCACTGGCACGAATGTGCCGATACATGCCACCCGCTGCCAGTGGTTTTCTCTGTTAGGCAGCCACTTTCATTTCCATCGGTATACACTGACCAGTGAACGAAGCGTTGTTAAAGAATGTGTCTCTCTTCGTAGTGTCGGGAAAATCACAGTTTTGAGAACCTAGAGCCCGCTTCGTTCGTTCATATGAAAAGAGTGCGACTGTGAATACATGCAGACCCATTTCTCTCCAAAGGGCAGCGCTTCATATACGCAACAGATGTCGTGAGTGCCAATAAGGACGCCAAGGGGAAGGCAGACCAGTGGTTCAGCTTGCATGTCCCATAAACAAAAAAAAAAGATATCTGGAGGAACACATCAAAGAGACACAAACACAAACAAACGAACAAAACAGATGCTCCGATGCAGCAACGCCGTGGCAAAAGATATCAATATCGTCTGCTGAGCCATGTAGCGAATAGTAACGTGTTCCGCGTGGACTTGGCCCGCGTGGTCATGAGAACGCCACTTTCAAAGTGCTTATTAGCACTGATTAGGATTTCTGCATGATAGCCACCACTGACACATCGACCGGCATAATGTGCTTGCGCCAAAATTTAGGGGAAGGCTAAAGAACTTCTTGTTAACGTGAGTACATTGTGAATGTCGCTATAAATAGGCGCCTGTCGTAGGTGAGCGACTTTACTGCTGCTTCACCATTAACTAAGTGCACGCCAAGTAATAGTTACAATAGCATACTCGCGATAGCAGCGTACTAGCTGCGTAATAGTAGGTGCGTACTCACAGCCTTTTTCCGGAGGTAAGGAAGAGGAGTGTGGATATCCGAACCATGGGGCCTAATTGCGTTTTTCTATTGTTTCGTTTGGTAGGAGCAAAGTCTCTGTTTTACTCGAAACAACGTATGTGCATATCCTATAGACGGCGTGCTAAAAGTGGTATGCTTACATTTTGATCGCTGTTGCGATAAATCAAGCGGTGTATACCTCCTTGATACAGCTGTTCTCACCGGCTGTTTGTAAACGTGCGTACTGCCATCTTCACGTTCATTCGCTTCTTTTCTGCACATGGACGACTTGGACGATAGGTGCAGACGTAATGTAAATATTAGATGCTTCGTTGCGCTGTAGTCAAGTTTAAAATGTCATAATTAATGTTTGTTTCTCTTTAATGACCATTGCAATCGGTAAGTAGCTTTACCGAAAGGAGGCAGTATAAAATCATCAAAATTTATCCGCACCAAGAGGAACAATAGCGTTTGGATGAGTTTGTTTTTCTGCAAAAGTTTTATAAATTCTTTTGTAATATCTCATTAGAATGAATCATCACCGAAGCGATGTAGTGCGTAAAGGGTAACGAGGGTAAAAAAATGATTTCCTTACTCGCTATGTTTTTCACACATTAGACAAAGGCTCTGTTACGTTTTATTTTTAATATTTATATTCCGTCAGTGAGCACTTCACCGCAGACACCTGCCTGTCAGAAATGCCCCTTATGATGGCCAACGTGAGTACAAGATATTAAGCGCAGGTTTTCTGTCTTGGGGTGTTTTGTACAAACACTCTCACATTGACGCATGTCTTGACAATGTTTGTGCAGGGTTTCCAAAGTTGAATGGCTCCTTCAAAGTATGATGCTACGTTGCGGTAGTTCTTTCGAAATGTTTACAAAGTAGCAGCGCTGTGCAGACTACCAATGACAGATGTCCTCGTGACTGATAATGTGCATACGGAGGCCTGTAGTGCAGAGAGCTAGAGCGAGGATCGGTAGGATTCACAGCGCTGGTGTGTGTCATTGCGTGCAACGGAGCATGAGGGCTGCTTCACACAGGCGAACTCGCCACAGACATACTTTTGTGACGGAAAATGTAGAAGAGTTCCGGATTCGGCACATTAATGCCCAGGATTGAGAACTTTCGTTCGCGTTTGCAACGTGTGATCCAGCCCTCGCACAAGACAAAGTTCATACAGGGTATTTAAAGACAACTCAGTAACAATGAAGAACATATCTTGTGATTGAAAGTAAGAAAAAGAGACCAAAAAGAAAGCCCCCACGGCATACTGATTGATAAAGGAGAACGTACGTAAAATATTCGCATAATAATCTTTGGCGCTCCTGGTTGTGGACGACCGCCTTGTAATCGGAAGAGCTCTGGCGTGAGGCATGCTCGCGCGCTGCCTGGCATTTTAGGCCGGCATTTGACTTAGAACGGCACCTCGACCGCGATTCGGGTGGCGCGCGCGGTCGTAAGTCAAACGCCGTGCGCGCGGTCGGGCTGCGCGCCCAGTGGGGAGAGGAAACAAGGTCGGGGATGTCTCCTGCGGGAGAAGGCTACGCAGGGCTGTCCGCCAAGACAAGGCACTAGGGGATGCAGGCATGCCTGACTACGGGTCATGCACCGCTGCACGAGCAGCCCTAGGAAAAGACGCTAGAGCTACGGGAGAAGGGGGCATGCCCTGGGTTCCATCCGCCCACCGACGCACCCGAGGCCAGACACACTCGCCCGGCTCGGGAGCGGGCCTTCTCTGCCCACTACGCCCCCGCGGCGGAGAGCACGCCACGTGGCCAAGAATGCACTCTTCTACGGGCAAGCACGTCTCCCGGAAGGAGCGCACCGCCCCTCTGACGGGGCCGAGCAACGGCGCAGAGCAGAGGTCCCCGCCGCACTCGAACCGGGCGCCAAGCCCTGGTGCTGCGCGGCGGTCACCGCTGCATCTGCGGCTACCTACTCTATGTCACACATCTCGCTCTCTCTCTACACCTGTCGTCCGAAGGCAGGGTGCGATCAATGTTGCTCGTGGTCACTCATACCCGAATCAAGGGGTCTACACTAATAGAAAAGACACGTTACCACTGTCTTCCCGCTTCGTTAATTTAAGGACACCTGCCTCACGCTACCTTAGGCACTCCGCTTACTGCAGTCGAACAACGCTTTCTGACCACTAGCACAACACACTTTCGAGCCCAATCAGCGCACACCCACATACAAGCCAAACAACAGTTAACATAAATGCAACACCGAATGATGACGGCGCACTGTTGAACCTTGCGGCTGCTCTGACTGGCGTGCTTGAAAATGCACTCACGAGAGAGATGGGCTCGACAGGGCTCGAAGGGAGCAGCCCAATATATTACAGCGGCTGAATGTGTGTACATTATCTCGAGATAAAATGCAGCACTAATAAGTGAGTAACAACCTCATTTTAGTAACGTGTATGTCATGTGTGGCTGATAGAGAAATAGCTGCAGCGACTTTTAATACCAATGTTAGCATTAGAGTCCACACGCAGGGATATGTATTTAAATAAAATTTATTTATACTGTTTCATTTTAAGTCTACAAGTGTCCTATCATACTCATATAATTTGTACAGTGCCGCATGTAATATTTTCCGTTGAAACAAAAGTATAGAGTACACAATCTCTCGCTGCTCTTCCATGTCTCCGTGCTAACCTATGCTTGTTTACACCAGGAAATGTTCACAGAATGAATAGATTGAAGCACCCTGGTCTCGGAATGTATCTAGGTATGAAGATATGTCTTATGATAGCTGGATTAAATGAGTGCGTGGAGACACGCAAGTGTTTGCGTGTGCCCCCTCGGAATGCCTGCCACTTTTCTTTCATGCGATTTACATGATTTCTCTTTGGCCTTCCCTTGCGTGGGTCAGAAAACCAACCGAAAACATCGTTACCTTTCATTGCACACTTTGTCTCCCTTCATTGCTTCTCATATTTCAATGACATGCTTCAAAAAGCAATATTTTTATTTTTCAGTTGTGATTTTTTACAGTCTACATGAATACTTTACGTAGTTGATCTGTTGTCCTCATAAAAACAGACGTCTGAGGAATGTCTAGATTTCGAGATCGAGGTTCGAGTGAGCTTCTTCTTAGAACGTTGGTTGGTTAACAGAACGCAGCCTCAGAATTTTAGAGGAAGAATAGTTCTGTTCGTTGGACAGAGCGTGAATGATCTGCTCCACCGTCAGTAACCATGGTGATGATGTCATCAGCACACGAAGCCCACGTCACCTCATATGAATTTTCGTGAGTGCAGTATTCAGCATGCCAGCAATAGACAGCCAGAGTGATTAATAATTTTTCTCTCAATTTTACAGACTTGTTGTGATGCAGTATAGTACCTACATGTGCTTCACGTTTTTTTCAAGTTTTTCTTCCTTTTTTTGCCTATCAGCACCGCCACATTGGACCACATTGAACAGCATGGGATTTAACATTCATGCAATATATATATATATATCGGCAACAGTTGTGACTACTTAACACACTTCCGGCGACCATGCGGCAGGGAAGAGTTAGGGAAAGCTGCGTAACTTGTAGAGTGTGACTCTGCCATGCCGCAAGGGTGCCGGATCAGCCTTGGCTGTGTTCCGACGGAGACACTTTACTCGGTACAAGGCGTCACACAGCCAACATGTAGGCAGTCTGCTTCACCAGCAGTGGTCTGGGCCAACGGCTCGATGCGCCCGTCACTGAAAACTGGCAGGAGATGACGGCGAGTGGCTTCGCTTGGCCCAAGCCACTCCTGGTGGACGACAAATACTATATAGACACTGGGGCGTTCGTTTCTAAGCGAGTAAAAGAGCAACAATATCTATACTACCGGAGAATCTGGCGGCGATGGCGGACTCGCCTTTTCCTGCAAACAAGAAACACAGAGAGCCCACATTGATCCACTACAGAGGCATTCGGGCAAAGACGCACAACGAGGCAACAAGAGCAGCAAACCAAGCACAAAGCGACGACTGTACATCACACGAATACGAGCAAGGCGCGCTAGGGCGCCTCGTGCACGTGCGCCTGCTCTCCTCAGCGGCGCGCTCGACGGCGCAGTCGCGAGTGCGCCATTGCGAGGCGCTGCTCTTAGGGCGCCCTCTCGCGCTGCGCCGTCGTCGGCCGCCACGCGCTGGGCCAGGTCTCTTCTATATCTATGCGCGCGCCGAGCGCACTCTGCGAGACACTAGAACCACATCTGAGAGGGTGCATGAGACATCGGGCGCTTTCTCGTCTAGACGGGGTACGTACAGGTGGCGTTGAGGGTTTGTTTGTTTGCCTCACACTCGGTGATCCGTGCGTGCTGATAGCGACAAGCCGAAGCAGCTTGGCTGCCCTGTGTGACGCTGCTGGTGAAACAGACACGTAGGCACGCACAAAATCGCGCACGTCACGTGATTCTTCACTTTTCTGGCTTGAGGGGCGCTGTAACCGCGCCGCGTTTTTCTCTTTTCTTTCCTTTCCTTTTCTCTCTTTAATTTCGCGAGTACAAAGTGTAGGTGACGTTCCATTCTCGCTTTTACCTTGGGGCCACGAGAAAAGATAAGTGCAGCTGTGTAACTATACTCGTAAAAGTAAGCACTTGTTTGGGTGCATGCCGTCAAAAGATAATGAGAGTTACAAGGTTTGCAACGAACTTTTAATACTGCAGTTAACGTAAGTGCACATAGCGTGACAAAAGACGAATGATTATGTGCAACAAACCTCATGAACAAAGGCACAACGTTTCTTAAAAAAAACGGGGTCAAAGTTACATTTTTAAACTTATGCAACAGATACAGTGAAATCATTCCCTATATATCTGTCATTTGATTGAACCAACAGAATATTCACTTTACGATCATAATCAATAATTTTGTACATATTTGCGCTAGCAACAATAAGATAAACTAGAACACATAAAATTTTTCTGTTTCACTGTTTCTCTTTTTTTTGTCATTTAAAGCTCAACAATTTCATCGTCATACAGAATAATCTATCTAATTCGGCAGTAACCTTCTTCTTACCGTGAGACTCCCTGCTCCAGGAGCCTGTCCGAATCTCGTGGTTCTCCAATTTTCGAGAATAAGGAGACCACCATATATTTTGCCGACAGTTAGCCTTCCTGCTCCCAATTCTGAAGAGGTGGGAAAACAAGAGAAAATGACTGTGATATAAGAACACAGGAACAAGGGCAGTATTTTCAAACACTTGCGTACTCCAGAGTTGTTCTTAAGAACATGAATTAAGGGAAAAAATCTATGGCATCAGAAAACATCATCACCAGGCGGGGAAGCGTGTGTGTAGAACCCAAAGTCACGAGGGGAAGTGGGCAGGGGGCCCGACTCCCTTTTATATTTCAATGAGAAACTTGTCCCAAGGCAAGTTAGCTGTAGCACAGCGGTACTCATTTGACAAGCACTGGAGTTGAATTATATCTGTCGCCGCCTTATGAGCACTCCCTCTCCCCTTCAGTGAACGGAGAATTTAAGCCCTGTACGTGTGTGTGTGTGTGCCACAAACTGCATAGAGAAGTTTTAGCGGTTGCATAAGTACTCAGTCTGTCGCACCAGTAAGAGAGTGATGTGATGTATGGTGTGTAAGGCGGGCATAAGAAAACACACACACACACACACACACACACACACACACACACACACACACACACACACACACACACACACGCACACGCACACGCGCACGCGCACGCACGCACACACACACACACACACACACACACACACACGCACACACACACACACACACACACTTGGAAAAGACATACACGTGAACGTTGTTTGTAGAAAATAAGCATTTAAGTGGAAAAGATATCGCCACGCACATAACCATTATCGTATAAGGGTCGCGGGTGTTGGCTACACAACATTCTACTGTTGCTGCAGCGTTGCTGGGTGCATCATCTTGTTTTTTTTTATTTGAACCACATTGTAGCATGGACTCATGACGGGCGAAGTTTAAATTCTGTTACTCACCGGAATCAGGCGGCATAAATTTGTCGGTGACTTTTCGCGCGTGCAATGGCCACAACTTGCGGATGGTATCCTTGAGCTCTTTGTCTGCCTGGTCCATTTCCTCTGCTGCAAGGGGGCATGCACTCGTGAGCGATACACGTGCGCAAACCGTAGAAGAGAGAGCCACGTCACGAAAAACAAATTAGGAAAAAGTTACACAGTAATTTTGAATAGGATTGATTGAAGACAATGCTGGCGTTATAACAACTGTTAGCCAACATATAGTCAACCATAGCTAACACTAGCCGATATTACTTAGGGATAGTGAGTGCTGGTAGTATGTAAGTAAAACGGTGGTTGAAATTACGCGACTTGGTGAGATGCTTTGTTGTACTTTACTGCCTTCGGAATAGGTCAGTATACTTTACGCTACTAGTCTCACGTCGTCGCGTGTAGAATGTGGGTAGAAGAGCGCTATATTTAATTGCGTTCAGTATATGAGCTACATTGTCGACCCATTCTATTTTGCACATAGTGCGGCTGTTAAGTACGGGAAACGCTTTCTCGCGTCACAAGAAGCGCTTATTTTCTTGCGTAGCGAGATGCGCAGGGAATATAACGGCTCTTACCGACACAGCGTTTCACTTCGAGGATATACGTTTAGCTGGGAAGCGAGTGCTTTAGCGCTTATGACAGCAGGTACCGGATTTAGCAAATGCAGCTTATACTGAAATCTCCGCTGGTAAAATCGAAGACAAAGAGGTTTAAAAGTGCACACTACTCTCTCGCTTTCCGAAGGACTTCCCATATGAATGAAGTGGAAAACGCGAATGTTCTTTTATCACTCGCACTAAGAGTTCTCGACAAACGACCTTACCTGGTCTCATTTTGATGCTCAGATTTTCTCGAATAAGTGCAAACAATGTGGTGCTGAAGTTGACTTTTCCTTCTTCAGTCACAGGCATGTTCATACGAATCAGTTTCTGAAAGAAGGAGAAGTCGGTTAGACGAGCAAGAAAGGAGCACACAATGTTCCGTCACTGCGAGGGCCTTTTGATACTGTCAGCTATTCTGGCCACTAAGAAAAAGGGAGATAAAAGCAAAGGCACAGAATTTAGCGTGATCACATATATTCAGTTAAAACAGAGGTAATGTACTGGTGGGCGTTGATGTAGCGCTGTCTCATGGAAAGTAGTCAGTACGAATGTGGCGCCCCTTGAAAACCCTAAATGCAAGCATTTCCGTAAGCGCGTTTCGCCTTGGTGCCGACTGTATTCAAGATTGTTTCGTTGTGCAGCACTGGCCTTTCCGAACCGCCCACCTTCGATCCGTGCACTCTGCGGTGTCAGAGTTGTTACATGAAGCAGCACAGTTATGTTCTAGACACAGGTCAGCACATTCCTTCAAAAGTGATACATAATTTGCTCGATACTCACCTTGTACGCCAGTCGGTAAGGACACTTGTTTCCGAAACCCAGGGGAGGGTCCATATTACGCAACATGTCATACATTTCCGTATAGTGAATGTAGCCCCTGCAAGAAGACATGTCACACTTGTGCAAAAGTGCAGAAACTAAACTTATTTCGCAGTACCCTCACATGGAGAGATCGCGATGTTTTGCGCGCTCGTCGTGATAGCAACATATCTTTTTCTCGCCAAAGACATTCCACAGCTTTTGTGGAAATTTGCAGATCTCGTGACACCCTCGAAAATGCCTCCGCGTGTAGCCTTGAGCCATAGATTTCCCGCCAGCAAGCGATCTCATTGCAAAGCATGAACGATTAAAAATGATGCTTTCAAATGACTCAAGATTATATGGTAAATCATTAGAAGCATGCAGGATCTCCTTATATGTACGAAACGTATCTAGCAGTCAGAAGTACAATTTACTCGCCACGGTGGTGTCGTGGTTATGGCACTTCACTGCTGACCCGTAGGTGGTGGCATCAAATCGTGGTGACGATGGCTGCATTTTCGATGGAGGCAAAAACGATCGAGGCCCATATGCTTAGATTTGGCCGCTCGTTAAAAAATCTCAGGTGGTCATAATTTCCGGAGCCCCCCACTAAGGCGTATTTCGTAATCGCATCATGACTTTGAAACGTTCAACTCCAACAATTAGGCTTATTGTCCCACACAGTGAAACATTCTAAAGGCTCCCGTGTGCACTATCCGAATTTCCAACGTTGTTCTCATTACCATGTCAATTTCTAAACTTCTACCAAATTGTGTCACTCGATGCATATTTCTGTTATGACATTTCATTCTTGTACACTTCACAGTTCAAACACGCGCCTCCATTTCACACCGATTTGAAAACCTAATGTACTTCCCCCGAGCTGCCGATAAGACCAAATTTTCAACTGGTGCATATCTAGCCACATTATGATTGTTGGAAGTACTATATAGAAAAGGTGGACGAAAACGGATCGGAAAACTTAAATCCTGGAGGGTGTGTTCCCAAATCGCTATATGGTGTGTAGGCTAGCGGGTAGCAAGAGCCTCTACATTAATTTTGATCACTCTTTAAAGTGGACCACGTTTTCGGCTCTATCGAAATGCGACCGCTGTGGTCGAGATTAAAACCACAAACTTAGAACTGGAACGTTCTAGCGGTCGGCAAGAAGGCGCATAGTTCTGGAACAATGCATAGCGGCAAATATCATAAAGGTTGAAATGCAATGAATGTAGTTCCGGTAACCTGGCACGAGACTCTTAAATCATATATATAGTGTACTTCGCTGATGCAGGACCTTTTTGATTCCCAATATACCCTCGTAAGTCCACTGGTAAAATTTCGATAATTATTTGGATAAATGTTCAGACGACCCATTCGAAGATTTGAACGAGCGAAAGTCATCCAACGCATTTAATAGTGACAAAAAACAAAAACAAAAGGAAGACAGTGTCGGTAACCAGCGTTGCAGCATCACAGCGGCTGCCATGTCTTTCTCAGTGGAAGAGGTGACTCACGTGGCGTTCGGGTCATACTCGGCCCAGACCCGTATAAATTCGTCTAAATGATGGGCCCCGAGAATGGATGAGTCGCGCGTCAGGTAGTCGAAATTGTCCATAATGACGGCGACGAACAGGTTGAGCATCTGAAAATGATAAGTTGCCACATGAATGATCAACCTCAACCGACGCGCCGCATCGTTCACATCACACGACATTGAAGACGTATACAGAGGCAAGTGTGTCTCTAACAAGCGACCAACAGGACGTCGTCGTTATGAAATTTACGCAGATACAGCGTCCACGTACGGTGCTTAAGAATCATGCATACATGACATCTCCACACACATCTAGGGGCGCTATTTACTCGATATGAGCTGGAACAACACGAACGTATCGAAAACCTTCGGAAGATTCTGGGCACGGCTTTGCTAGAAAAGTTTTTGTCCTGTTCGCAGCACAATGCAGATAACAAGTGGCAGATAATTACGTACCAAGAAAGAGCAGAAGAAGATGAAGCTGACAAAGTAGGCGTAGGCCATGTTGCTACCGCACTCAGGTTTCTCCTTCTTGGAAAGAGGGTCACAGGGGCGACCCTTTACGCAAGCCATCATAATAGCTTGCCACGCTTCACCAGTGGCGCATCTGGATAGGTACCGCAGGAAATTCAGTCGTTAGTACAGCAAATAGGTTCAGAAAAATGCGCTTAGATAGTGCCCACAGTTCTCACTTGATAATTACCCGCCTACACAGTACCTACGTGTAAGCTGCGGAATAAAATGAAGTTATTTTTCCGGTATGCTGCTGAGTAGATAACGCAAAGAAACGTTACAAAGAATATGCGAACATTACAAGACACTGCCGTTTTCGGGTCACCCTTTTGTACACAATATAACTGTTTTTATTGTGACATACTGTGGCATTTCGAAGCAGTTAAACGCTGTAACCTGTCGCAATAGAAAATATTAGGCTCTATATATCAAATTAGAGCAAGTTACCTGCGAGCTACTTTCTTTAGTTCGCTCCAAATAAGAAAAAGAAAGTGTAGGCTCTCTGGATTGCTGAATTATACGATCGAAGTGCTAGTTTTATTCATTTCCTTGGTACATATATTTTTTCTGCAATAAAGGCTATTTAAACTCATGCGTTATTACTGGTACACGTCTCATCATGCAGACGTTGTGGCAAAGCAGTGAATAGAAATGCGCGTGCGGCATTTTTATATTACGTACTTATAAGCAGATCTGCAGATCTATAAGTGCTGCATCATGTTCCATCATGTATATGGGAAAAGAAGAAGTGTAGCGGTGTCTATTAAATAACAAATAATTACTTCGGGTGCTTCAACCAATCAGAATGAAGGGCTTTCAAGCCAGACGTATTACGTGGTCATTTTTTCCTTTTGCTTGCACGATAACGTAGAACGCCGAAACGTAGAGCGACACTGCGTTGCCCACAACACTGCATAGAAAAAAGCGCGCCATAAAATATTGTCGTGACCATTGTGCAGCGCGTCAGCGCACACGCAGAGCCGTTTTCATGCCTGGGTGCCAGGATGAAACCACGCGGCAGCTGCTTTCAGCTCTGTGCAGTCGGTTACGTGGGCCACCGAACCGATAGCGCCAGAGTGCCGCCAGGGGTTAAAGTGGCTTCGGGTGAGAAGGGCTCGGCGTGTGCGCGTGTTTGTGCCAGTGCATGGGTGCAGAAGCGGTGTGCGTGGTTCATGCTAAGCAGGGTGCAACGGGCAGCCATAGCCAGGCACGAAGCAGAATAATGGCATGCGCAGCAAAGCTCAAGCGGTGTCGAGGGCCTGAGCCGCCGAGGGCAGACATGATCGTGTCTCATCCTACGCATACGAGTTCCTATACAGTGCAACTATCGCAGACCTTGGGCGCGCACTGCTCGCCTCTCGGAGTCCCAGCATGTATTCTGCTAGCTAAGTGCACATCTCAAGGGCGACCGGACTGGCAGGTGATCGGTGGCCTCGCTTGAGATGTCCGGGGACTCAGCGGCGCGGACAGTGCGGATTCTACGGCGAGGGCGCTTGGACGCCTAAGGGGTCCACGGCCGACGAGCCGACCTAGGTTCCCACGCGCGACGGAGTGGCATAGTAAATGCATCAGATGAACCACCCTAGCGGCAGCAGCACTTGAGCGCCAAGATTTGCCCAGAGCGTATGCATTAGACATTTCAAGTGAAGATCCTTCGAACTTTACAGAAGCTATTCAGAGGACATACATCGTTAGTCTTGATGGCCAGAAGAATTGCTGTAGAAGAATCATATATATGTGTGGTCAATGGTCACTTAATTATGGTCACTTAGCGCAAAAAACAAAGCAGCGCTCCACGTGCTTGTACCCCTCATACTTCCTACATTTGTTGGTCTAAGTAAAAGAAGTTTTATGGTTGCTCGATAACTATGCACCGACTACCCATAACCGAGTTTTACTGATATCGATATTCATAATTAGAGTTACTTCTTGGCAATCTCAATTGACATATTGTAGAGGAAAATGAAAAACATCACTGTCAACTACCACTGCGATCTGCCACCTTTCAATGCCTTCGGTCTTTATTCAGTGCGCCGTGGACTCTGAACCAACAGGTTTTCAGCGGGAAACATGTTTTAACGTTACGTTGAACAGCCACGTGCCGTTCTCCAAGCTGTACTACTTTGAAGTACATGTTGCTGGGTTAGTTCGTACTAGTGCTCGGACTTATTGTACCTTGTACTGCAACGCAAGGGCACATTCGGGGAAGACACAGACAGTTACACGTCACAGCCCCTGTGACGTGAAGTTGTTCGTGTTCTGTTTTGTTGTTCCCTTGCACTACACTATGTATTTACGTAGTACTTCGAGAATATTTCAGTGGGTTTGAAACTAAGGAGGTAACAAATACGTTGGTGACGAGAATATGTTTTTTGAAATAACAAAAAGAGAAATCTCACTTCTTAGATTTGACCCCGTCCCGTAGATAGCATCCTAAAATACGTTACATGTAAAATCACTCCTTATGGTAAATAATAGCTCGATAAGCACAAATGTGCTCAGTTATTCATTAAGCGAAAATGGGCCAATGTGAAATGTTTACCGAATCAAGGAGACGACTTAAGCGCAGGCGAGACCACACACGCATTCAGAGAGCCTGTGTGTTAGGTTTGCGGTCAGACTAGGGAACGCGTGTGAAGTCTCATCGTGCACGTCAACGCGATTATTGCAACATTTAACACACGATTGCTCTGTGGTTCAGGCGTTACGCTGAGGAGCTAGCGAGAACAATTGCTGATATTTTCCTTTCGCAGTGTTTTGGCGGCATCGTTTCCACTCAAAAACATCACTATACGTTGACTTCATAACTTTTCGCACCTAGTGATTGCAAAAAAAAAAAAAAACATTAGTGATAATAAAAACGAACAGTATGATCGCTCAAATTATATGCGATTTTTACACCAACTATCTTTTAAAATGAGAGACTACAGTTTTCGATATACTTAGGCAAGTAAGTATAGCCATCGTGCTGCAGTGGTCACTTTTCTCCCCTTTACAGCACTTTACAGGAATTTAAGTGGAACTGTGATTGATCGCAACTGCAGATTTTTGCTTTAATTCACATGCCTTTACGTGCTCTTTTTTTACAGCAAGTGATCCATTTATGGGCCATTTGATGCCCTACGCGTGCGACAATTTACCGCACAGAAGCACGCTGAGGCCAATCAAGGTCGCAGGTGATTGCATCAGAGTCATGCTCACCGGTGACTTCAATCACGCGTGGGAACCACAGACTCGGTACAGGAGTCGGCACTACAGTGTTCTTGGGGATCGAAGGAAGCCGGGAGAGTGTTAGGCAAGAAACTAGCTAGAGATTATGTGAGGATATGTTAGAACTGAAACGGAAGGAGTATACTGGTCGGCTATTGCGATACCTGTGGAGATGAGGTTGCTCACGATTACGAAGCAGTTGGACGCTTCTGCGGCGCGACTGTTGCCTTGGAAGTTTGGACGTAACGCCTGTAAACTCGCGAAGTGGGGTTTCCTTGACCGGCGCAAAGATGCTTGGCGATGCGCTGTGGGGCGCTTCGCGCGGGCAGCCGCTCGAAACGAAACGTATGACGAACGAACGGTAACTGCGGAAGGTGCCATGCAAGCCTTCCTTGGAGGAGCAGCCTCGTGGTGTCTTGGGCAGAGCGCGTTGGAGTGGAGGTATGTATATATAACTTAATAAAAAAAAAGGAGCGGAAGGCGCGCAAGTACAAAAGAAAAAAATGCACAGAAATGCAGTAAAATTAGGAAGACCCAAACGTGTGGCCAGATACAGGGCTTAACATGGCACGAGTGAGCGCAAACAGCCTGTGCATCAAAGGCGTGGATGCCCTTGATTATGTAGCCGGTATGTACATGTGCTTAGGTTAGGATTGCACTTGCCTGAACAGAAGCATTAGACCTTGAAAGAAAGTTCGGAAGTTATTGTGCCTCGTTATTTGACTGTCCGACGCCAGCATAATATTTCCAAAGACCTGGACAAAAAACACAAACAGCATCACGGAGGAAGCCGCGAGGAGTGGGGGAGGCAAAGTGGGGGAGGGCAAACGCTACGCGCTCTCGCCGCCTCGGGTCAGAGAGCAACCATGGCTTCTACGCGCAACCTTGTGTGCACCGCCTTACTTCTATGTAGTACGTGGGGGAGGAAGCTACGCTGCCGCCGCCACTACGTGGTCGGACCGTGCTGCCGGTCCGTTCCGGCTGCTGCCGAGGCTTTCTAGCTAAGGGCGCCATCGGTGCACAGGTGGGGGTGACGCACTCACCGAAACAACAGTATTAAGGACTGAAAGAAGGACTGAAAGTTGTTGTGCCGATTGATCTCTGTGTCAGGGTCAAACCTGATATTGCCGAAAACCTGCGGGCACGGGGTCAAGATGAGAACACCAGTGTCACAAGGGATGTTGTGGGCACTGCGGTAACGCGCCGCCTTGGGGAAAACCCGTGCGCAGCCGTGGCCTGGCCCCGCGTGGGACCCTCTGCCGGCCACGGCTGCTCGGCAGCTTGTGATCACACAAACATAAAAGCACTCTCATACATTTCCCTCCGCTATTGCGAAAAACCAGTTGCGTTTCTTTTTTATCCTTTTAAATGCGCATTACCAATAAAATTCCCCGAAAGTTTGCGGCACATGAAGGGTCAACAACTGCATAGCCAACGCATTCAGTGGCATTAAGATATTGAACGCTTGGGGACATTAATTAGTCGACACAAGGTCAATTTTTAAGTGAACTTAGCTGACCACAGATAACATACTGCCTTACCATCAGCATCACTAATCGATGAGCGTTGATTATCAAGTACCTTGAAACCGAGTATGTTGCTGGTGCAGAATTTAACTGTTCACCTATATGTTTGGGACCGACCATGGGATAAGAGATGCTGCTAATAATCCGTCTCCTAAATGGCGAAGAATACGGCACCCAGATAATCACGATTTATGATCACAATGAAAATTCAAATTTGGCTTCGGGTACTTTCCTTTTTCGTGTTTGAGATATATCACCCATATATGAGCGTCAAATGCGTTCAGCATACCACCGACCATAAATGCAAGCATTTTTTTTCACATTACGTTGCCGCGGCAACGTCCAGGCGGATACATATTCAATGATAACGTGCGCCTTACAATTACGCAACGAGAGCACCTATATTTCGCGAAAGTAATTTTTGTTCATTTATTTACCAAGGTAAACAAGCGCTAACAACACAACCATTATTGAGAAATACAGACGTTCCTAGGCAAGACTAACTTGCAAGTACTTCTTGTCTAATTCTTACAGTGCATCGTATTCAATTCTTATTGAGTATTATATTTTATACTCCACTTTACAAGATCAATTTGTGGATATGATATGTAGATATGACACTCAAATATGACACCATTTTATATGCAATTAAGGTGCACATATCTGACGCTTGGAGTTCATTCCTTTACGCGATGTTGCAAAAATATTCTTCAGATATAGCACGGTTACTACGCCAATGAGTTGTCGCTGTGGGCTAATGCGTGTACAGGTGCCCCAAAAGTAAAACGTAGCACGCGAGGTGAGGCAAAACGACGCGAAACTGCATGCCAGCACGCTCTATCAGATAAATTGTTCTTTATTTAAAAACGGAAATTATGGCGCTATCTTCTGGCCCATTTCCGTTTACAAATAAAGACTCACTTCTGTGATAGAGCTCACTAGAATGCAGCGTTGCCTAGTTCGCCCACAGCTTACGAGCTGTCTTTTACTTTTGGGGCACCTGCACAGATCAGCGAACACACTCACTCAAGTGTCACTAATGTCTGTGATAAGGCAAGTATGAGATGATATTCAACATTATGCAATCTATGATCGAACCCATAGTGCAGTAGAAAGAATTGACGTTTACTTTTGTGTCCCGAGCATGTTAGTCGATTGTCAGCAAAAAGCGTACGCAGGTTAGCGTTGGCATGCGGTGAAGTTAAGATAGGTGTTCACGTGCTCTTCCTTGAAAGTCACTCTAAGAGATTCAAATAGGGGTTTACAAAATTTGTAGCCTTTGTCAATTTCGCTGAGAAGGCTTTCATTGAAGGTGAAGTTTTTGGATAAATAAGTCGATATGTTATCCTGTCTACTTAAAGAAGATCAGGCAAAATTGACATCCTGTTCCACTGAATGCATTTTATCAATTAATCAAACAAGTGTTGGGCTTTGGCATGCTCATAACACTCACAAACAGACATAAGCTAAACAAACACCTCCACCACTGAGCAGTTTGTATATGACTTATCGGGGCGAATGGCTCTGTGGTTCAATTAAAAGAGCTACCACACTGAAGTTGCAAAAACGAGTAAACAGAAAAAAAAAGTGTTCAGTTGTGACTCACCTGCATGCCGATTATCGCGTAGATGAAGAAGAGCATAGCTATGAGCAAGCAAACGTAAGGCAAAGCCTGGAAGAAAAAATACAGATATGTAGAAATTAACAATTTTTGATAAGTAACTTATTTGACGACAAAAAAAAAAAAAAAACGGGCCATAGTTTGGCTTCACGGGGGATGCCAGGAGAGCATGCTACGTGGATACATCGGCCATTTGGTGTGCTGCTTCGTAGGCGAATGAGAGCAGAAAATTTCATGCCATCATTTTGTTTTGCGGACAAATCTGTTAGCGGACAAATTGTTTTGCGAAAAAATGTTTTGCAGACACGAAGGACACGTTGGCGCACGAATCTGTGGTGTTGTCGGAGTATTGTTGACATATGGGATCATTCTTCACTGAGGATGATCACCACAAAGAGCGGTGTCAAAGGTCATAGCAGTGCCAGTAGGCACGACTACTTTGGTCAGTTTTCAATAAAATATGGAACTGAAAATGGTGCTGAAAAAAAAACAACAAGATTGCTTGAAAGTGTCAGCACACATTAATACCACAGAGTCGCAAGTCGTTGCTTTGGCGGAAAAGTGGCTGCTTCGAATTAGTTGCTTGTTGTCCAATTTTTTTTTCGGCACTCCAAGTCACTCCGCAATCGCTAGTCGTCCTTGGTCGCACGACGTATGTAATGACGTAAATGTCCCCTAAGTGCAACCGATGTGTTTCACCGTTAATCATTTTTATGCGGCAGTCTCCAATAAAATATTATATCGACCAACACGCTGCACTTTCCTCCCCTTTCTGTAACTGCAGGTACAAGCAATGAACGCCGACGGCGTGACAGTAAACCTCCAAAGGCATTTCACGTTGATGTTACACTTTGAATAGTTAAATAATTGTTGTATTTACAAAGTATTTATCGTAAAAAAGTACTCACTATACACAAAACAAAACATACTTACTAGGTTTCTTTTAGTGGTGCTATACAAGTATTGCTTAACAATACGTTAACACAACCGTCTTCGAAGTCTATGAGCTTTTATTGGGCAGTGTACGTAGCATTCTTTGGTAGCGATCTTAGTAGAGTAACGACTCACTCTCTCCCATTACCACTACTGAAGGCACATCAAGAACATAGTCAGTAGAGCGACCACAGGACCCACGTTTCCAAACTTTCCAGGCCATAATTATGAAGCTGGTTTACTTTAAGTAGCACAGCTCCTGATATGCTCTACATCGCTAATTTTGCACACATCCCTGACCACAGGAGCGTGCACCGTCCCTATTTCAAACATGTATCCACTTATATTATCATAGCGAGGCAGTGATAGACACTAAGGTAGAGAGGTGTGACTACTCACTTTGAAAGACTGAATGAACGTCCAAAGGAGAATTCGTATGGTGTAGCCTTGCCTGAGAAGCTTGATCAGGCGGGCTGCTCGAAATAGCCTTAAGAACCCCACACTGAAAAAATTCAGCTGGAACGTAATGACAGAGTGATGAGTGCGTTTCTGAAGGTACTGAGAAACTTCAGCATGGAAAAATATGCAACAACTAAAACAACAAGAACAAAAATGTATAATATAAATATATAAATAGAACAACGAGGTTCACGGACCACTTTTCACAGTGACATCCTCGCGTGCCATGCCAAGCATTGCATTACATATAAAATTTTTCTTTTGTTATTTGGCATGCACACGTAATTTTGTGAATTGATGTTGATTTATTTAAACATGGGTTGTAGTGATGCCTGCAGTAGCTGGAGTAATTTGCAAGAAGACCTGTTTTACTTACCCCCGTCTCCATGACTAGAACATCGATGATGCTTCCGATAACGGTGATGAAATCAAAGGTATGCCAAGGATTCTTGAAGAAGTTCTTGGTTTTTTTTGTAGAAACGAGAGGACAAGAAAGACGATTGTAAGTGACTGAAAATCTCTAGCGACACAGCATGCATTCATGCATCGCGGCACTTTCGTCGTGCTTCATATTTCCACACGCAAACTTTTCACGGCATTCGATATGCATTCTTGATGCTCATATAAAAGCTATACACAAACATTTTGTTCAGAGGGGTGTTCAAATTAAGGTGCCCCAGAAGATGTTGTTTTGTCTTGCAGAAGCTATTGAGGGGAAGTCCCGTGCAATTATGTACATTAAGTTGTCCGAATTACGGTCATATCCGATGCCCAGCTGGCACAGCCGATCGATGCCTTGACACTGCGGATGATATTTCCGAAATGTACAAACCTTTATTGCGTGACATGTCAAGTCGAAATAAACCATCATGACACAAGATCAGCACCGACAAAAAAAAAAAAAAAACTGCCGGACTATGTTGTGCTTGCTTACAGAACATTAATCTCGGGTGAGGTTAAGTGGCTGTCAGAGAGAAAGGTTATCCAGAGGAGATTTCCTGTTGGTTGCCTTGTCGTTTCACATAAGAAAAGGAGAATGAAAGAAGACAAGAGTATGACGATACTAGAAAATCAATAAAAATAGTGGGAAGGTCCAGAAAGAGCACAAATGCATTATCAATACGCGAGCTGAACAAAAACGCATCTGTGTCCATCAAACATCGCATTTACCTAGACATTAGCGGTACTTCCATAGCTTTTGCAGTGTGCAACCACGTTCACAATATACGCACCGCATCAACGCTAAGTTTTGAAAATGCGACTTGAAGCTGTTAGTGTGGGGAGCCTGCACTGATGGCAGTGCCTCAGCGCCTAGACAAACTTGACTTTGTCTCTTTCTTTCTTTCTTTCTTTCTTTCTTTCTTTCTTTCTTTCTTTCTTTCTTTCTTTCTTTCTTTCTTTCTTTCTTTCTTTCTTTCTTTCTTTCTTTCTTTCTTCTTTCTTTCTTTCTTTCTTCCTTCCTTCTTCTTTTTTTCTTTGGCGCAGTGTCGTAAGAGGATGCATGGTGCAGCGCTGAAAGTAGAACGAATTGGTGAGTATCCGCGGTTCAAACAGCAGTGCTCCGAAAGAACAAAGTTAATGTAGGACGAGCAAACAGTGAGCACCAAACGGTAAGCAGCTTATTCTGTTTGTTAGCTTACCTGCGTCTTTGTCATATGTGCGTACTGCTGTTTCAATATCATGCTCGAAGATCGGCGAAGCATTGCTTCATCCTTGAGAGTCATACTTAAGCACATCGAGAGAGACAAATGCGTGAAAGTGCTTCTAAAAGCATTTTGTATCACAATGCTTTAATGACGGTTCATCTGGGGTAACATACTTGTATGCACCAATTTTTCGAATGAAAAGCTGTCGGGGCACAGCACTTACACGTGACGACATTGGGAACATAGCATCCACACTGTGCAAGCATCAATTTTTATTTGTTTTCACGATGAAACAAAGGAGTATGGGGCACTACGTTTTGAACAACCCTCGAAGATGCACAGAGATCATGCAAAAGAACAATGTCCTTGTATCTAATCATGAGAAAAAAAAGAACATTGCCCGTTGCACTCCAATTGAAGCATGGTATTAATGCCAGACAAAACGTGGCTGATTCCTGAAGCCCTAAACATAAAAGAGAACCCAAGAGTTAGTAGGAAACTCTTGGCTTCTCAAGAGTATTTTGCTGCATGTGCAACGGTTTTATCTCAACTGTTTATTTCATTCTAGAGTGAATAACCCTCATTACCCCCTTTCTTATTTAGGAGTAGTTATTCAAGTTTTCTAAATTTACTCAAGGCTTTGAGTTTTGAAGTCATAGATGCTTATCAAGACAGACGCAGTTAATGGTTCCTGGGTGTATGATATGCAGCGCACGCACTGACTTGCGTTCAAGATGGCCAATAATAATTGACAGAGAATTCATGTACTACCTTCTCGGTCCTCTCCTCAGTGATCACGGGTCACTGAAAATCCAAAAGCGCCTGTGCAGCAGTGCAACATGACTTGTTTTCTCACTTTCAGTGTTGCCAAAACAAAACAAAAACAACAAATAAAGAACAAGCCGAAGGAAAGAATACATTCAACCAGAATAAAATTAAAGAAATTTAAATGGATGCTGTCAAAATGAAAAGACATCACTTCGAATCATAAATTGGTCAATAGGAGGCTAACAAAGTTGAAGGTTGTTACTGGCAAAGGCTTTTCAATATTGCTGGCACAAAAATTACGCCGCTTAACTCTACTCGAATATAGTTTTTGTTGGCACGTTCCATGCCGTCAGCCTTGCAAATACGCATTATGACAACCATATGATTATAATATTTCCTTTGTTTTTACTTCATTAAAAGTTGAGAGGCGAAAACTGCGCACCGAGGCTATTCACGCTCACGAAGTGGTGACTACCGGAGTCACGTATTACATCATGAGAGATCAACATGCCCGCAAGAGCTGGGCTAGCGCTGGCTGACTAAAAGTGGCAGGAAAGAGCGAACCGTCAAACAATTCTTACCCGACTCACGCATGCCATCTCGCATATTATCTCTGGTGAAGCAGCGTTATCATTACCTGAACGAGTGTGAAGTGTGAGACATAAGATCAGCACTAGCGCTGGGAACTGAAACTAGCGATAAGTGCTGGTGGAGTGACCATTGGGCACTTTCGGAATATGCTGCTTTCATAGAAATTTCCCGCATGAATATCTACACTCTTAAAATTTCAGGAAAAAATATCTGGGTCAATGCATAAAAGTTTTAATTGGACCACTTCACGAATAATTTTGCTAATAAATACTAATTAAAAAGTTAGAGACAAAGAGATACCGAGATTCGGTGAGAATTTGGTATCTACGCTACCACGATAACAGTGCTATGAATAAAAGTAGATGTATGAGCCCCGCTATGATTTCCTTAGAACAGGATCATATCATTCTAACATCGAGTAATTAACTGCCATTTCCTATTAACGTCCTCTGTAACCTACCCTTCTCCATACCACCATGAGTTGCATCGGAATACCTTGCACGATGCTGTCTCTGAACGCGCGACAGTACCTCACTTCACGTACTCTCTTCTTTTTATGAAATACGACTGTTATTTGGGGCAATGATTCAACTTTAGGAAGTCGTGTGCCAGCGGGCAACATCATTTCATGCTCTCACTGCCTATTGGCTGAACCAGTTGATTGCTTCCTATAATCTCGTCCTGCACTGCAGGGATGCTCTAAGAGTAGTAAAGTCATGATCCGATCGAATTGGCAGCCACAATGTGCTAGCTTATGAATAAGACTTAAATTCTCGCACGACGACGGCGAGAACGCTTTCATTCCATATACGATATTTAATATACCACATTTATATACATCAAGTATCTGTATTCAAGTTCCGGAACTCGCGTTGGTAGCATTCAACCAAAATTAGCAAACAGACAATGCTGAGTTAATGCGTGGATATACTATAAGAACTCTGCGGTTAGAAGAATGCGATAAGCTTGCCAGGAGACAAGGTCGCCATTCCTGATCTCGTAGACATCCTGATCTCGTAGCTTTCATTTCTACGACGTGGCTATTCCGTGTTCGAACAGGAACACTCTCTGCACTAGCTCACGTGTCCTCACTGTGCTTTGAACATCGTTAGTGCTGCAGAATGCTCCATATTTCTGTGCCTAAACTTCAGAACGAAGACGTGAATGCATCACGAGGAACCCCGGTGTTCAAGAAAAGTAACTCTCCTCTATCTGCGGTAGATGGAGAAATGCTATGGCGGCAACGTAAACTTCGACTACCGCAAAACTGTCGCAACACATTTTGCCTGTAATACCATCATCGTCTTTAAAACTGCGTTAACAATACACAACCCCTCATTTCTCTGTGTAAACACCATCGTAACTATGGCTAAATTGTAAATAGTGAAAAATGATGAAGTCGGACAACTTGTTGTTAGTAATTTTAAGGAGGCTCTTCAAGGCAGATGTGCGTATATGAAATATGCAAAATGAAGAAAATCTAAGCTATCGCTCACAGTGTTTGTGAAGAAGGACAGGGGCACGGCTATAAAAAGAACGAAAGTACATATCGCCTGCTACCACGAAGTGATAATATACACGTGGTGCTGTTTACTTTGCCATTGAGATAAATGTTTAGGTTTCGTTTATTGTTTCGTCTAATTCTGATGGATTCTCTCTACCGTCGCTGATACAATGTTTCACTGAAGTGCGCTCAAAGTACTACAGCCTTCATGGAACTTCGCCACACGTCTATATTGTGGCCATTAAACTGGAAATGCACTATTAGATCATTTATAAGGAAATTGGCGTTGTTTATGACATATTGTGAAGCTTATAAATGAATTCTCACGACTACCTATAATAGTCTTTAAGTTTAAGGAGAATAATACGTTGTTGAGTTAACTTTTCTAGCTGCTAATAGCAACGTAAATAGTGACATTAAATATAAATTAAATAGTTTGGATTACTGTCCGGAACTAACGTAGAAAATATTTTATCTCTGTATACACTATAAGTCAGAAAAAGAACAAAATAAGCGGAATGAATTCGGCAAGAAAAAATTGTAATGCAGAAACAAAGGAGGTTTCCTCGTTATATGTATATGAGACTATGATATTGTAAATATTGCTGGTCCTAACAGAGTGCCCATGATGCAAGACTATCAAAAACATGACTAAATCATGATGAAATATGGAGAAAATATCTCATCTGCTGACTTTGCTTTTTTTATCCATTTTCATCACATGCTTAGCATACACTGCATTGACCACCCAACCCGGTCTTTGTACACGCGGTTCTGTGAGAAACACGACTTCAAGTACCCGTGTGCTCAGATTTGGGTGCACGTTAAAGAACCCCAGGTGGTCGAAATTCCCAGAGCCCTCCACTACGGCGTCTCTCATAATCATATGGTGGTTTTGGGACGTTAAACCCCACATATCAATCACGACTTCAAGTATTTGCTTTTTTGTTCTTGTAACAGCTTTGATTGAGCTGATATGTGAGGTTTAATGCCTCAAAGCCACCACATGATTACGAGAAATGCCGTAGTGGGGGGCTCCAGAAATAACTACCACCTGGGGTTTTTAACGTGCGTCCAAAACTGAGCAAACGGGCCTACAAGAGTTCCGCCTCCATCGGAAATGCAGCCGCCGCAGCCGGGATTCGAACCCGTGACCTGCGGGTCAGCAGAGGAGTACTTTAGCCACTAGATCACCCCGGCAGGGCTCTCGTAACAAGTTTGCACATTACTTGTGGCAGTTCTGGAATACCAATCAATTGTGATTACTTGAAAAACAATATACGAACATCACTGTTTTTGTTTTTGCCCACAAGTGATGAGCACTACACCCAGGAACCGTCTACTGCGGTGTACGCACACAATATGTGCTTGTCTTTACTAAGACATATGCGAAAGTACGATCCCGCCAGCATCATGTCCCTCACATATGTCATCGATGCGTGGTCATAGAGTTTTCTAAATATACATTAGAGGGAACTCCGGCGCTAGTGTCTACGGGAGCTGCAACGCACGGCGCTACAGCGAGCATGGGAATGATGGGTAGTGCACAGATTTGTCTAATATTCGTACTTTTGGCTCCGTGTGTGTTCGTGTGGCTTGGAGTTGTTTTCTCACGAAACAAAAACCAGCAAATGTTTAGTGGTTGCGCTTCACCACCTTATTATTTTAGGCTTACCATTTGACATCGGGTCACGAAGTTCAAAAGGGTTCGTTCTTTTCTTCAAACCAAAACCAGCAATAAACGAAGCCGCAAGTGCAATTCGCCGCCCGCAAGTACGAAGACTAAGCAAATCCGTGTACTACCCACATATTCCCATGGTCACTGGACGATCGCAGCGCCAGATTCTCCTCTAGTTACTTTTAGGAAACTCTATGTGTGTGGTAATGTATAGCAGCAACCTATAGCCGCCGGGCTGATTAACCTTGCCAGGAGAAACAGACGTGGCTTTTTGACAGGTGCCTGTTCCTTTTGTTTACAGAAGAGCGATGGCGCGCCACTGACGCTGCGAGGCGCAGCCATCACGCTGTGCAGTATGCTGGTGCAAATGTAATAATGAAAGCAAGCATTCTCTAACCAAAAACACGTGGTGAAAGAGAGCGACTGGGATTGCTGTTCGAGGGGAACACCGAAAGACAGAATTTCACTTTAGATAGATCGGCGAGCTGCAGTTAAGACGCGGCAAGAAAGGTCCAATTTCCATAAAGTTACGAGATTACAGTAAGCGTGAAGACGCACTGTCATATTCGCATAAGCGCTTAACATGGCGTACCGAACTTTGGGAAATATTGGTAGAAGCCACTCACTGCTGAGTAAAAAAATGATTATGAAGCATACGGAAAGTAAAAAAGAGATTTGAACCTGAAAGCTTTTTCGGCCATTCTTCCTAAGAAAGAAACGTTCTCAGGTATGCCGAAAGGTAACGAACGCACTTCACGTCTATCGTAATGACTTCACTGGCTCTGGAGTTTCAGGCGAAAGAAGTTCAGAGAGGCAAGGCTATCTTTCTAAGTAAGATTTTCACCGCCACTAAGTAGCCTTCCGGCATCATGCCAACGCTAACAGAGTATCAAAGTAGTATTGTACCAACTTAACATGGTGTAATGTTTGCACGTGTCCTTTTCAACTGATCTCGCTTGCCAATAGAGCCCATTTTATTTTGTCGCTTTTTTTTAGATTACATCGGTTGCTATTCCTCACAGCAGCTTAATCCACATTGTAGGAGTGTGTAATGCTGCAAATATCTTGAAATTCAATGCCATTTGCCTAGCCCATGAATCCTTGAATCTGATCTCTGCATAGGAGTAACATCGTTCGCTACTAGGCACTTCGTACAAGAAAGAACAATAGTTTGAAAAAATACCCACAGCCTAGTAATAGCAGCAGGAGAAACATTTGATGTATTATAATGCAAAAATTTTATTTTTTGATCTACATTTGATGTATTATAATGAAACAATATCATTTTATGACCTACTGCTACCCATTAACCTTTAGTCTGTCTGAGCGAGCGTGCCGTGGGTGACGTCCGGGCAATATATGACGAAAACGAAATGGCATGATGCGGGAATGAAGTGGCCGACGTGACAGAATGGTAGCGCGCGGTCACCGATAAAGAGGGTGAGAAAGCTTTTCTGCCCTTCCCAGCAAGGTTAGCTAACGCGAATGTGGCCCCATTAAACGGACCGCTTCGCAGAAGGGGGAAATGGCGAAAGAAAGAGCGAGAAGCGCGGCGGTACAAGGAAGCTGCGTGTATTGTTAGCTGCGCACACTTTCAGTCACCACAGCAGAAAAAAGACAGAATGAAACTAAACAAAACAGAACGATGAAAAATGATTTTCCCAAACCTTGCATCCATAAGCCATGAACTTGAATATACATTCCAGCAGGAAAAGGATAGTGAAGGCCATGTTTAAGTAGCTTAGTATGTCGGAATATAAATCGCTGGCATAATGGAACTAGAGGTCCACCAGGAGGGAAGGGAAGAAACCAGAAGGACGGTAATGAGCCACCGAGGAGGAGCGCGACCCCACAAAACACCCTGTCCCGGCAACGGCCGACGGCGGACGCTGCTTCCGTAGCGCGCGTCCGCCCCGCGATGATGCAGGGCCGGAGGATGGGAGCCAGGAGGCAGCGTCCGCGCCAGAGGTTCTCCACGAGGCGCCCCTTGGCTAGCGGCTCTGTCACGCGCCGACCAAGTGCATGCGCGCACAAGGTGCGTCATCAGGGTGTCCTACCAGACCTTAAAGAACGTCACCGGATGACGGCGCCGCCGAATGCCCTCACCGGACCATCTGGAATACTGCACGTCGTGTGCATCTGGAAAAGTTTCTGTGGTTTGTGACATAAGATTCAAGCTTTGTTTCTTTGTGCGGAGATATTTGTTTTTCATTTGCTGCATAATGCATTACGCACGGATGCGTCGCGATTCACTTTTTTTTAAGCGAGTAATGAATGTCTACTTTACCACATGTAATGATGTCTTCTGAATTGGCTTATTCCTTTTTAAGAGTTATGATGCTTCATGAAAATTCGCTCGACCTTAGAAGGGCAAAAATTTAAAATTGAGGAGCGCATTCAAGCGTCAATGCAATGGTTTAAACTTTTCGAAGCACTGAGAAGGGTATATGTTTTTTTTCAAAGCTTCGCTTTTAGTGCAAGTTGTAGACTGCCCTACCATAATTAAATGCAAGAAAAGCCTACGTTTGCCACACGTGCGCCTTATAATAAAGTTTTGATTTTAGAATAGGGGCTGGCTTCATGTTTTAGCAGCGAGCGTAAGCTATGCTTCCATATTGTCAGGCTGTGACATTCTTTAGTGCGCATGTCAATGAAAGTTGGCAGCGTACAACCTGAGCCCGTTCTAAAGTCTCTTTATGTTCAACCTTGATTTTTTTTTTTTGCTTCGTACACGCAAGCTGCCGATCCTCCATTCGTCGGTAGATAAATAAAATAAAGCAAAGTATACCTTAAGCGTTTGCTGGTAGAAGGCGCCGCGTTTCAGTGGAGCACCTCAAGCAGGCTCTAGGCTTTCTCCTGGTGTTTGTCACGTCGGGGTTGTGACGTTCGTCCTACATCAGGGTGGTCGAGAAGTGTCTGTCGCAGCGCTAAGGGCCGCTGTCTGCCTCACGAGGAGACAGACCCAAGGGGCGCTTCGTAACCTTGTCGGCGGCGATGCTATGTGCGCAGAAGGCGCTGCCCCCCTCCCAAGAGTCATTGTTTATGACGGCGGCAGCAGTAACGTGCAGCGATCATGCCCAAGAAACGAGCAGGGCGGCAGGCAAGCGTCCGGCGACCCGTCGCAGGTGCTCCACACGGCAGCAGGTGCTGAAGATGCTCGGCATGCAGTTTGGCGTGCAGGACATGGGCAGGCAGTAAGTGGGATGTTCCCAAGAGAGCAGAAAAAAGGGCGCCTGACCAATGGGGCTTCAACTGAGGGTCTTGTCCCGACAATCGGGAATGCATGTTGACGCACAGCGGGATGGCGAGGCATGGTACGCGCGCCTACCGCGACTAGCCCACAACAACCCCTCGCTGTCTACAAGGCATCTGCCAGCGGCACTGCGGGGTGCTCGATGGCAGACGCGGAAAGAAGCACATAAAGTGGACTCCGTAGTGCGCGACAGGGATTCTTCAAAGGGTGGACTGAGGGGAACTGAAAACATACGCAAACTTAGGAGGAACAAAAAGAAGCGGAAACACGAAGGGAACTAAAACTACCGGCGTTATGTGAAAATGAAAGAGGGCAGAGAGAGGTGAAGCATTGACGGGGAGCGGTGTGTACATGTGGGACAGGTAGAGACGCCACTCCTGACGGGGCCTTCCATGGTGCGAGCGTCGTGGTCCTAGAAGATGCTTAGAATGCTGCTAGCACAAACTCATGTCACACTTTCACCATGTCACATGCAGCAAATTGCACCCTCGTTCAAGGGAAGCTAGCTCAGTTTTGTTTTATCGGACGACACCATGAGGACCACTGCAGTTGGCAGGCTTCTGGCCCTCGCATGGCACAGGAGCGCATCGGGCTGCTTACACAGGCCTGCTCTCACCCATCCGCTGGTCTACAGCGAGGCCGCGGCCGAGCTTAGGGGCGGCCGTGCTCTCTCCGCACATGACCGGGCGGTGCCGCATGCGTGCGCAGCCACCCGCTACAAAACCGAGGCGCCTACGACCTGAAAGGGTGCGGTTGGGTACAGAGCAGGCCTGCCAGTGGCGCCATCTGTCGTGCTGCCGCCACTGAGCTGACACTGAGGGACCTTTCCAAGGGGCACTATAGTCACCAGCGAGCAGCCCAGGGCAGCGTCACAGCAAAAGACACTAGAAGCTTCTCGGGCGGCGCTTACTGCCCAGCTTGCAACAGGAGCTACACTTCTAGAAGCCGACGGGTCCAACCAGCGAGCTGCGCGTTGCGAGTGGCCGCAGATAGCTGGCTGTACCAGTTGGCAAAGCGCTTCCTAAGGCGGGAGCCTTACCCGGACTCCGAATGCGGCCACCTTGAGAATGCATTCAATCGTGAAAAGCGCGGTGAAGGCAGCGTTCATGTAGTGGAGCGTGTTCTTCAGCGTCTTGCTTTGATTGTAAAACTAGCCGCCGGCCATGAAGAGATGCACAGGACCCCAACCAAGGAATAAGCACGGGGGCAGGGTCACAGAGAAAGAGAAACAAAAGCCAAGCAAATGAAACAGAAATAAACATCCTTCTACAGCAATGCTCTCCTCGGAGGCTACAACTACGGATTTCGTAATGCAGCGCTGCCCTTTGGCGGCTGGCCTCCGCGGGCGGCGGCGGCCCCGATGGGGACAACGCGAGTGCACTGTCGCGTGTTTGTGCAGCAAGCTGCGCCACGTGGGAAGAAGCGGCTATCGCGCCTGGCATGCTGAGGTGCGCGTTTCTGGGCCGCCGCGTGGTGAAGGCAACACGTGTTGTCACGGCTCTCCGCCACACACAAACATTGATGCCCTGACCTCGGAGCCATGCACAACACGCACGAGTTTGGCTGACGACTGGGCCGGCCAGGAACGTCATATTCGCCCACCACTTTCAGTGTCAAGTGACGGCGATGCGTTACACTGAGCGGACTTCAGGACGAGTTGCGACGCAGGCATGTGCATACTCGGTGTTGTTTGCCACCGTCCCGTTTGAAAAATCGGTAGTCCACCTGAATAGTCGCGTAGATACCAAATAAATCTATTAACACGAGCTTTAGCATCATCTTTAATATTTTTTGTTTACTTTTTCCAGTTTTGGGCCGCAGTGTGGCAAGTTACGCGTGCTAAGTCATGCATAGTTGTATGCCTATACATTACCTCGTTGTTTCAAATTTTTTGCCAAAACTACACTTTAGAGATGCGAAGACAAGACAAACCTTCCTTTACTTGCCGAGTAATTGCAGACGACTTCACACCTTCTAACCGTTCCGTTCTTTACGCCTTGCGCAAGCTAACGGTACGCAATTTTTGAGCTGAAGTGTTTCTTCAAGCAGTAATATCCTGCGCACACTGGGCTTATTAGGCAAAGCTTACCCTAGTAACTAAACAACTAGTGCTACACTTCAGAACGTATTCTAACTATGCGGCTTGAGTGCACACATTTCTAATATTTCCGCGGTCACTGAGCGCGTGAACAGAACATAATGTGAGTTGAGCATTGGGCAGTTGGGCCACTAATATCTGCTAACTTGAAGCTTTCTTCCTTACTCAAAGTTGCCTCAAAATTTAAAGCGTCTAGAATTCTGAAGCGTGAGGGCTCACATTCTACTTCTGTTAACGCGCACAGTGACTTGTGAACGCTTGAATGAAAGTGTTCAATACGTTTCAGGGCTGACAAAATGAAAATTAAGATTAGTCACGTGCTCGATAAACATATACCAGCTTGGAAGGACAGATGTCTTAACATAAATATTTTATCTGCGAACAAGCTGGTAGTCGAACTTACGAGACGGTGAACAAACGGTCATCGGATCGCATTTGTCGACGCAGTGATTCCGGGGACAATGCTCACATTACATCCGTATTCAGGAACCAACACAACCTTAAACAACCTCCACTATATTACTCTGACAGTCATTGTCTCTCGTAGTTTCCGCCAATCATTAATTACACTAGACTTTCTCAAAACTGCACGAACACTTGCAGACCAGTAAGAATATTTACTATGGATTGATGAAGGGGCTTTTTTGTTCTTGTCAGTAACAAAATACATTTTCATTGCTTCAGACGTTATAAGAAGGCTAGCCACGTAATGCACTGCTAATATACTTATATTTACTCGTTCTGCGTGTAATTTAGCATTGCCGTGAGCTGACATGACTGAAAAACTGATAAGCGACGACTGTTGTTGCTTCAGAACGAGCGCACGTATTCGGCGGCGTTTCTTTCTTTATTGCTGCCGCACGACTGAAGCAACACTAGAGCTCAGCTGCAATATAACCATTATCTTATACGCATTACGAACAGGAACGACAGCGTACAAGCAAACAGTAGGCAACGTTAACGCCCCGAACACACAAATTCCTTTAGGCAAAATTAGCCACGCTGACACCAAAGCTCATATCAATCTACGAGATTTCCTCGAGCCAAGCTTGCATAACGTTTGCAAAAATAACAAATACTAAATGCATCTAAAACTCGCAGCAATTATCTATTCAACAATGCTCTGGTGAGCAAGCACATTTAGCTTGATCGGCGTTTCTAAGGGCAAACTTACTGACATTTTAAAAAATGTAAAAAAGGCAAGGAGAGAATGCTCATGTTTGGCTGGAGCTAAGAAATGATGTGTCCTACTGATAAGTAGGCACTGAGTTTGCTGACAACGAAAAATCTGCAAAAATCAGGAAAAATATCTGGGTGTATATATTATACTGTGGTTGAATATCTGCCTGAAAAAAAGTGATGCTATTTCTATTAGTTCTTATTAGCATAGCTTTATATGTCCATTTCTGTAGATTATTTCGCATTAAAATTGTATATTAACGTCATTAGAGCGCGTATTACTGTCATCTGAATCGTATTCTGAATAGGACAGCGTAGCATAATGCGACATTTAAAAGTATGCACTAGGCATGCAATTCCTGTTTCGCAACGAAGAAATCTGCGTAAGTAACATACAAGAAGAAAAAAAAAACAGATACACGCTAGGCGAGCGCTTAGCGCAGTGCAAGACCTGTTCAGAATCCTCATTTCTGCATGTCTTGTGAAAGGCAGTCTACGTTTATACGCCTTCGTTAAGACGATGTTTGCAGATGCTGGAACACTGCGTATGGAGGATGAATGTTTATTCGATTAAGCTAACTTACTTGAACGGCACTACTGTAGTAAAGCAAATTAATTGTCCATTAGAGAAAAAAAAAAGCGAGACGGGGAAAGAAACGATAACATTTTTCTTCTACACCTGCTGTCGAAATTTTCTGATTTTGATTGATATGTGGAGTTTAACGTCCCAAAACCACCATATGATTATTAGAGACGCCGTAGTGGAGGGCTCCGGAAATTTCGACCACCTGGGGTTCTCTAACGTGCACCCAAATCTGAGCACACGGGCCTACAACATTTCCGCCTACATCGGAAATGCAGCCGCCGCAGTTGGGATTCGATCCCGCGACCTGCGGGTCAGCAGCCGAGTACTTTAGCCACTAGACCACCGCGGCGGGGCTGCCAAAATTTTCTAAATTTAGTCAAGGCATGAGTAAGCAAAGGTGCCTTTCTGATTCCACGGAAGATTTTTTTGGCCTTAAATACACATGAACAGTTATACGCATGACTTCATTTTATTTACTGTAAAGTATGAACATGGCTTCAATATTTGCTAGGCTACGAATGCAATGAATGGCGTCGAGAATTTCACCAAGGCTTGCCAGGAAGCTAATCGGTATTGGATCACAGTGAATACTTAACCAAGAGACAAGACTAACGACAGGACAAGCACAAAAGTGCGGTAACTTTCAAATACCTTTAATTGACGAAAGCGTGAGAAATATATGGCTCAAATTCGAAGGACGTTTCTGATAAAGATTCGGTCCTCACACACGTGTCATGAAATTCAAACGTATCTGTTGATTCGATAGCTGTTTGTATAAACCGCACGCCTTTGCAAAATGAAAATTATTTAAAGGTCAGCGCACATGTGGGGTCGTACGTATACCAGATTTTTTTCCCTACGTCTTCATGCGCTGTTAAACATTCACCATTGTCATATATCATGCACTTCTGGAAGCGTTGCCATTTATTTCCAACTGATACAACGGCAATCATACGGGTTTTACTGAGCGCCAGATAAGAACAGTGGCTCCCTAGTAACCGACATTAACGAAAAACACGAAGAGCTGAACAACGCTCTTTCACAGCTCTTTATGGTCAGGAAGCGACTGCCATTATTTTCATCTACGGTTGACATCACATCGGTCAAGAACAAGCTGGATTTACAAAACCAGGGCTGTGACACAGGCCGCAAAGTAGGCATAATAAATGGAAGATTATCTCCCATGGGCCTGTGCTCAATACGGGACAGCAACCTTGTCTGAGACTACGCTAGTGGTTACAAATGTGTTTCAGCCGTACCAACGCACCAGCCAGAAACAACGGTGAATTTCGCACTACGGAAGTAGACCTGTTCGTAATACTGCCAGTATCATAGCCAGCCGGCGGTCCATGCTTGAGCCAGAATTTTCAGATGTGGCTTTGCCGAACGCATGCATGACTCAGGACAGAAAAGCATCTTCCAGAAGTAGCAATTTTTCAGAGTGTTTAAGCACTCGGACAGTGCTCGGACTATGTGCGTGGAGACCGGGAGGGGATACATAGAAGGCTCACCAGGTTGACTAGTAGTCTGCAAAGTATGAGCCCAATGAGACTGAACGTGGTGAGATAATAGTGGCAGGCAAGGTGAGCCGTCGAAAGTTCTTTAATAAACGCGTATGCTGGCTCTTCTGCAGAAGAACGTTGCCACACACAGCTAGACAAGTATATAGACGCGTGAGGTCGCCCTCACGGACGAAAACCTCGGTCCCTGTTCCGAGGCTTCATATTCTAACAAAGCGCCAGTGCATTGTCCTGGCGTGAGTACGAAGATATGAAATATCAGCTAAAAGCAAGATATCAGTGAAGGTTTTCAGAGGCCTACTTCAACAAAAATCAAGCGTTTAGGAGGCTTGGTTTCTGAATACGGAATGCTACGCCGCTAGACTGCGGCTCCTAAAACAAGGCGAGCGAGGCAGATATGTAGCGTTTTCTTATTCTGGCTACTCGTCTCGATACGTGCTGACAATATATGCTATCATATGCCTGCTTAACTCATCTTACATAGGCAATATTCCGTTCCAGACCTCAGCCGTACTACTGCGAAACGTGCAGTTCCTGATAACCAGTTCTTGACAGCATCGGTGAAATCGTGTTGCCCATAACGCGACAAACTTTCATGTGGGCGTATCTTTATGTTCACAGCAATGCTCACGACATGATGCAGCATCGGTCAGTACACATGGCTTTACGCTTTTTGGAGTTGCCATGGGTCGGATAGGCTCCGCGAGCTAACGGTTTCAAGCGGCTCTTGTAAGCTCTGTCTTCAAAGTGTGCATTCCTGCCAGGCGGCAGATGGCTCTCACTCCTTAGGCCAGGCTCAATGAATGGACGGGTACCTCGTAACACATACGAATGACCTCAGCACACATGTAAGCCATTAGAAGCTGGCCAGTCAGCTTTCATTGTGGTGTTTTATCAAGTGCGTCCGTCCATTGCTTATAGAATCTGAGCATAGCTATATCTAAGCGTGAAGCTTGATTTGAGACAAATGTCAGCCTCTGGCATTTCTGCCGCCATCTGTCGGAGCTTCGAGCTGCTTGAAACTCCAGGCAACTCTAAAGAGCGTAACACAGCAGCATGCTCTGCGTGAGATGTGTTGAGTGAAACGCCCATGCCGGACACGAGGCTCAGAGTTGGTCCACATTTGAGAGCGACAATTCGAGCGGCTCGCAAACGAGCACGCAGTTAAGATTATATACAGACAATGTCAAGCACGTCCTGCGTGAGACCAGGGCGCTGAACCTCTGGGCGGGGCGTCGGCATGCAAGCGTGTGATGCACAAGTGACAACTGCTGCGGGGCCTGGCATACCCTTCACGGAGTTCCGCAGATGCCGCTGGGGTCGCAGCCCAGCTCCATGCCATGGTCACGGACGGCGCGCGCGTACTGCACCGCACACAGCGCCAGCCGGACAGAGTGCCAGTAGACTGTGCTGCTGTGCGTTGACGAAACTATACGCTTCCTATGCGGCGAACGTGCCGTGGAATAGGTGACCATTAATCCCTCACTGCTGTTGTTCTAGTGTGAGAGTGACAAAATGATGTTGGGTATCACGACAACGCATGGCAGCACAGAATCAGTGCCTCAAATGAAGAGCGCTCAATCTCTTGTTGCAAGGAAACAACACACAAAATGTCAACTCAACATGCAATACAAACTGACGCTGATGTGCAACAGGCGCCCGTAATGTCGTGGGCATTCGGATACATGGGTGTGACTCACCGTCTGTGATATTAAGCACAAAACTGCCGTTATGTCGACGGCATGAGCGACTTTTCTCTTCTTCTCTCTCTCTCTAACTCTTATTCCCCCTTCCCCAGTGCAGGGTATGCTACCGGGCTAAGGCAAGGTTAACCTCGTGCCTTTCTTTCATCCTTATTCTCTCGCTCTCTTGCTCACGCGGCCGACCACTGCGAGTGTGGGGTACAATCGATGGGAAATAACATCGATGTTAATAACACTGGATTAGTGTGTGGGGTGAAGTTGAACGACTGGAAACACAACGCTTAGGAGTTTCAGAATTTTAAATAGGTGTACAAGTGGTTCTTTTCCGAAGCTACAGCTAGCCCCGAAGTGAGCAGTTGTTCACCAACGCAATAGACAATTGAAAGAAAATTATTTTGTACCCATTGCGTATGTGTCATATCACGGATTTAAATATTAGCAAACCGCATACGACTGCATATCCGCCGAAAGGTCCAATCAGCTCGTGACAGGGAAAGACCAGAAAAGAAATTTCCAATGATATCAGTTTTACCTATCATTTGCTGTTGCTGCAGAAAAAGTGAACATCCAAAAACAAAGACGATTTTGTCGGCATGAAGCATCGCCAAGTGCATAAATAAACTTCGATTCTAGTAGGGGCCACGTTAACTTTCCCACATTGGTGAAATAATTACGGATCATGATGGAAGTCCAATGTCCATGCCAATGTGGAGGGGCACCTATGCCGCTTTTGAAACATATAGTCGCTGAGGAGTTTTTTTTCTCATCTTGAAAGAGTTACAAAATATAATAAAAAAAGTTATCAGACATTTGGTGCATCGCTCGAACAAACTTTTGCTTACGGGTGTATTCAGCCAGTGTGCACCATATTACGTCATGGATGATAGGCGCGAAGCAAATATGGCGTGTGATTGACTTCGAGCTGTGGAGACTACACTTTTTTTTTCTTTCTTAAGGCCGATCATACACAGAAATGCAAGTTCGAAAGTTGTGCCCGTAACTTTATATGTGAAATTATTCACAAGCCGCCAAACCTCCTGCTAGTTGTTACATAATTTATGATAGCTTATATTGTATCCGGCTTCGAACGTGGCACCGCGTATTTTTGTCCGGCAGTGTTCTGAACTCCGCGTACGTCTACGTCAACCAGGCATATGCAGTGCACCAGTTATTCTGCGACTAACGCAATATAGTGAGCGCGTCGTTTTTGAGCAAGTACGAATTTGAGCCTCCTGTCCTGCAAGCAGGGATACGAAATCCCGCTATTCCTCATCCCGGGAAAAGCACAGTTGCATCAGTTGACGAACTCGAGGTTTCGAACATGGAGTCGTCCGCCACGGCAACGTGGCTAGGACATGGCAGTGTGGCCATGGGTCCGGTATCTCTTGCCGCCATGACAACGTGGCTAAGACATGGCAGTGTGGCCATGGGTCCGGTATCTCTTGCCGCCATGACAACGTGGCTAGGACATGGCGGTGTGGCCATGGGCCCGGGATCTCTTGCCGCCATGACAACGTGGCTAGGACATGGCAGTGTGGCCATGGGCCCGGGATCTCTTGCCGCCATCACAACGTGGCTAGGACATGGCAGTGTGGCCATGGGCCCTCTTGCCACGTGGGCCGCTCGGCTCAGGTAGTGTGCAGTGCGTGTGCTGCGGGCGCCTGTGCTGGTGCGGCTTTGCGTGCGTCTGGGCCGCGAGCAGTGTGCGCGTGCGCGCCGTGTGACCATGACAGAGCAAGCACTATGTATATATGCGTATATACATATGTAAGGGAGGAAGCAGGGCGGGGCCGCATGCAAGGGCGGCGCGCCCTTGGCCGCCGAGCCCAGCCGAATTCGGACCCCGATGCACACACCAAGGGGGCCTCATGCAGGCCGCCGCCCGCCGCCTCATGCCGCATCATCAACATGATCAAACCAAGAACTCTGCGGCGGCAAGTGCGATCGCGCGACTCCGAATGCACATGGTCGCAAGCCGGGGTCGCGCGGCCGCTGGTCACCGCGACTTCGCGACACGGCTTTGTTCAGCGGGTTAATTCACTGACAGTCGGACGAGAAAGTTGCAGTTCCTCACTTACCTTCATCATGAGCAGAACGGTGTTGAGCACAATTAATACCATGATAAAGTATTCAAAGGGAGTTGAAACAACTATCTTCCACACTTTGTATTTAAAACTGTCTTTGTTCTTTGGCATATACCTCTGCAGTGGCTTGGCTTGAATGGCAAAATCTATACAGGATTTCTGGAACAGAAGAAACATGACAAGTGTTTTGTATTTGCCGTGCGCGCACCATCAAGTGCGATAGCAACAAATTGTAATGTTATATGAAGTGAAGCCGGCAGCTAACTCTTTGGGATGCGATCTCACGCAACTCTACAAAATGCTAGTGTAAGAAAATGCAGCCGCCCTAGGTACACTTTCCACACCCTCTGTTGGTGTTGAGAACCCAGCACGCAGGATGGTATACAAGACGTCCACCGACGGCTGCCCAGATATCCAGATAACACGCGCGCCAGCGACGGCCCCGTTAGGGAAATCAAATGTCGCAGTTACTCCTCGGGGTACCTCTTTGCCCACCCTCCTCGCGTCTTTTCACACTCGCTAAAGACGGGCGGGGACGTTTACTTTCTGTTTGAGCATTTGACGGCTGATCTAACAAGCAGTAGCATCTTATCGTATGCGTCTAAGAGCGACGCGTAAATGGGCCGGCTTGTTTATTCTCTGCATCAACCGCGTTATTCGCATCTACTGACGCGGTATTATTCGCGGGTGGAAAGTTCGATGTGCTGGGGGATCTTATAAATTCGGACTTCATACGTGACATGACGCTGACGGTGCCGGCGATGGCGAAAACCCGTCGAGACTTATCGCAATAAAAACCAGAACATAAAAATTGGGGACGCTAAAGCTTCGCCTTTAGGAGCTGAATGCGATATCGACACAGTGCTCCTAGCGCGTTTTTCAAACACATAGTGCATAAAACCTTCTATTTGCTATGCACCCACTACGTGGCCTTAAGGTAATAGGCACAGTAGCGTGTATGCCTTTTGTAGAGGGGTACCGGCTTTCAACCCCGGAGCGATTACGATAATCACACATTCGGACGCCAGTTGGCAATATGAGATTGTACCACGCATCATTACTGCAATATTTTATGTTGCATTGCGAGCCATGTACACAGGACGCATGTGTTTTTGAAGCATGAAAGCTACTTTCACTGCATTTCCAAGCAGAGGAAGTTCTTTTCACAGTTTACACAGGCAGATGCGTGGCCGTGTGGTAGAACATCCACTTGCCATAAACGATCCGGGTTCGATCCCCACTTCGATCCAAACGACCCTGGTTTGGTCCCCACTCTGCTCCAGGATTTTTTTGTCATTTAATTATTTTATTTGCATCGTTCTCAATTTTTTGGTCACGCATAAGATAATTTTTCGTTCACAATCAACGACGTCGATGACGACGACGCCGTCGCCACCGCTGACGACGCCAGAATTTCCGCGAAACAAGCACTTTAACACTATCGTGTTATTAATATTTATAAGAAAGTAAGACATGTGTTGTGAACGGCTCAACGGAAAAGGATGCTCTTTTGGTTAAAGCTGCCGTAAGAGTTCTCTGTCACATTGCGTATACGACGTCTTTGTAGGACGTTCTTCTTGTTCTTCATCTTTGCCATAAATGTATCGATTATGGTAAAACAAAGCCAATTTTATATTTTTAGTCTCAAATCTCAAACTGTGAGCCAGCACTTCGGCCTATTAGTTGGTCTAACACCTTAGTATAAAGCGCAGGAATAGTGTAAAACTCTTGTGCTCATGGTGCAGTTTTGGCCACCTTGTAAAGCACAAGCCCAAGTGGTTGTTAAAGTAACACAATAGCTTCGAAACTGCATTCATGCCAACCTTTGACGGCGTTGTTGTCCCCGACAACCATTTGATTGCTGTCAGGGATGATGACGGCCGAAGTAATTTTTTATTTTGAGAACAGAGTCAGAGATTAAATGCGCGGCAGTGCGCGTGCGCGCGTGTTCATACTACGATTTACAACAACGTAATAAGCAAACGTGGAAAAAGAAAATTGGTTTATGACCTAACCGGGGGAGTGTTAACTACGTTCGACATTAAGAAGAGCTCACCTGGTTTTTGTCAAGCTCGCCTTCTTCGAGCTCTTTCTCACCCTGCTCTTGAAAAGTGATGATGATGAGTGCTACGAAGATATTTACAAAGAAGAAAGGGAACACGATGAAGAAGACGACGTAGAAAATGGACATCTCAATTCGGTATCTAGGCAGGGGCCCCTTGCCCTCGTCCGTGGAGTCCATCGAGTTCTGAAGCACTCTGAATAAAAAAAAAAACTTGTCAGTGGGCGACCAGCAGGAAGATGACATAAGGTTCTCGTTATGAGCGATTACTCAGAAACAGGCTTGTCAAAATATTGACTTTTGAGAAATAAACAATTATCGACAAGCAGCCAGTGCTATAGTGCTGGATCATTTTAACGGCCATCTTGCAGTGATCATTCAAAACTTCTCTGACTGCCGTGATCTAATGCTCAAACTTGATGTGCGTTTTAGAACGTGGTGAGAAGGCGTCTATACATTCAACAGCTGTAAGTGGTGTTATGCAGGTATGTATCAAGCTTTTCCTCAAAACCCAAGTGTTTAAACATAATCTTGGAAAAAAGCGTTCTGTGACGAACAGTACATCTCGTGCAGTCGAATCCTGGTCAAGCTTATTGCCGAAAAAAAAAAACCGGCCCGCTGTTTCAGCGTCGTACACTGGCATGCCAATAAAGCTAAAAGACACTGCTGTACGTCCCCCTTCCCCCCTTTTTATTTTTTGTCTCAGATAAAGCGTGCCGGATGTGCCCTCCGCTTCACGTACAGCTAATTATACAAATGACGCAATAAGCAATGCCAGCTCTACAATAACAACCTTGCAATACAACAACCATGAGCCTATAGTTCCTCACCTTTGAATAACGCTATCCAAGTCCGAGTGACTTATCCTGCAGCGCGACGCCTACGTTATTCACTTCAATGAGGACTGATCAATATATACATTAGGGTTATACAGTTGCCACGTCAAAGAAAACGAAGGAAATTGTATCGACAATTTGGAAGCAGCCGTCTATGTATTGTGCCCACTTCAATTGCTTCGAGCGAATGTGTTGAACCTTGTTCTTTGTCTGGTGCAAGAAACACGCAACTCCTTAAAAAACGTACCAAGAGTTATGTAACCCTTGATATGTTTCCTAATTTATTGAAACTGTGGGAAGGCGTGAAAAAAAAAGAACAGGCTGTATTGCATAACAGAAAAATGTCAATAAGCGTACGCAGAGTTATGCTGTAACGGGAGAACTCTGGATTATTTTCGACCACCTTGGGCTTCTTAAAGTGCTCCTAAATCTAACACACGTGTGTCTATACATTTCTCTCCCTTAGAATGCCGCCACCGTTGCCGGAATTCGAACCCACGCCATCGAGGTAGATTGCGCATGTTTTTCTTATATGTAAGCTTCCCACAAACTACAAAAATGCACTGAATTCTTATCATGGCTTTTGTTACTATTAGCTCTATTTCTCACACTGGCAGGCATGTAAGATTGAGGTTGACATGCTGTTGGCTTCAGCCGCCGTCATAGGTATTTAAAAGATGGTAGCAGAAAAAATAAGTGAGAAGGCACGCTGCGAAATTACTCTCGTCGGAGCCCCACCACGGTGGTCTAGTGGCGAAGGTACTTGGCTGCTGACCCACAGGTCGCGGGATCAAATCCCGGCTGTGGCGGCTGCATTTCCGATGGAGGCGGAAATGTTATAGGCCTGTGTGCTCAGATTTGGCTGCACGTTAAAGAACCCCAGGTGGTCGAAATTTCTGGAGCCCTCCATTACGGTGTCTCTCATAATCATATGGTGGTTTTGGGACGTTAAACCTCACATATCAAATCATTACTCTCGTCGGATAACTAACTAGCATCCCCTTACATTTGCAGAGAGATAGCAGTTTTGAGATGTACCATATTTATGCGTGCTGATTTCGTTACAACGCTTAATTATGGTGTATAGAAAAAAAAAACACTGCATGCGTTTTTCGCGCTACTCACTGTGGCCAGCCCTCGCCAGTCTGCACGGTGAACAAGGTCAACATGGCCGCCATCACGTTGTCGTAATGAAAAGGCTGGTGCTTCCACTGACGCCGCTCCACCCTAGGTGGCTTGTCCGCGTCGCTAAACACGTAATATTCTCCCCTGAGTGGAAAAAAAAACGATGAAAGCAAATTCGCAAATCAGTCGTGTGTATAACACAGTATCGTGACCATGACTTTTACACTGTTCATTTGGAGAAGTAGACGCCCACACTCGCGCTACCTCATGGACCCTCCCTAAAGTGCACCTCAACAAGTTCGGGTATAGTAAATGAACAAACGTGGCTCGTAGATCCCGCAGTATTGATCGTATCTGCAAAGGTCTAAAAAAAACAGATGCGTGGCGCGAAATGACCCAAATTTATGAAAAGAAAGGCAGTGCATTCTTTCTCTCGAGGGAACACACGTGGAGCAAGAGTCTAGGCCACAGGTACAATGCACTGCTTGCAACGTCACTAGACACTGTTCATGACTACAGTTGCTAATCTAGCACAGAATGCGCACTCCCGATCCCACGACTAAAATTGGCCGTGAAGTCAAAGAAGAACGAAAACAAATGAGGGATACTTAAGTTTCGCTTTTAAGAGTTGAAGGCGATAGCGATATCCTGCCTCCACAGTGTTTACTTCAAATACTTACTACACGCTTTTTGTTGTACGATGTTACTAGAGAAATTGGAATAGTTGATTACCACATTGTAATCAATAAAGTTGAAAGTAGATCGTGCCAGTGAAGCTTTCTCATGTGGCTGCATTCTGTGCAATGTGTAGCGTGCTTTAAACGACGAGCAATTATGAGCGTGAAATGTTTTAAAACTTTCTATGCACCCTCTAAGGCGTTTTAAGGGAATACGCGCAGTAATATGTGTACCTTCTGTAATGGGTGGCCGGCTTCGAACCACGAAGTCGCAATCATAATCACATAACACCCGATGGCAAAGTACGCTTGTACCACGCAATATTACTGCGATATTACATGTTGTATTGTGAAGCCTGTATGCAGGATACGTGCGTTTCGAAAGTGTGAATGTTACTTTCACAGCAATTGCAAGCAGAGAAAGCTCTTTTCACTGTATTTCCAAGTGGATGCATGGCTGTGAAGTTGAACTTCTGTTTACTACGCAAACGCCCTGGGTTACATCCTAATTTAAACCCGAAAATTTTAATATTTGTTTTATTGGCATCTTTCTCGATTATTTTTATCACGGACACAATGGTAATTTTTTGTTCACAAACAACGACACCAACGCCACAATTTATACGAAATGAGCTCGTTAACGATATCCCGTTAAAAAGAAACGCGGCTGGGCTCGTCATGTGATGGTGACTTGGTGCAGCGGCTCCGCCGCATGGGAGAAACAGGCAAGGCACACCGCTAGTGGACGCTAGCTGAGACGAATCAGGACTGTGTGTTTGTTGGTTGGAACGATGACGTTCTGGTAACATGGCAACAGAACTGTTAATTTTCTTGTAACCCCCTCCAACAGAGAACCAATTTGAGCAAACAATTTAGTTAAGTGCTCCCTCGGAGGTGCCTTACACATTCCGCCCCGAAACAAATGTTTGTAAGGGGGCGTGGTGAGAAACCATTTAAATTTCAGGGCCCCAGAAAAGAAAAAGAGAGCCCCCCTCCCCCCAAAAATAGTTTTCAGTAGACTGAACATAGGTTAGTGGAACGGAATATAAAATCATGATGACACACACACACACACACACACACACACACACACACACACACACACACACACACACACACACACACACACACACACACACACACACACACACACACACACACACACACACACACACACACACACACACACACACACACACACACACACACACACACACACACACACACACACACACACACACACAACTTCAATTCAGCCCACGTGGCGCCATATAATACAACATACGTCCAACTTGTACTTAGCCCAAAGGATGTCTTATTGAACTGTATTTGGCAGGCTAGAGTGTTAGCAATAAACTATTGTAACAAAAACAAACGTGATCCCCGGTTAAGTGGCCTGCGAACAATTTAAGAGGGTACCACACTTTTATAATTTCTTCCCTGTTCGAATAAATTTGAAACACTGTGAGCGAACCCACACCAGACTAGTATGGGCGCTTTTAAACTCTCGTTGTCCTTATCACCGAGCGTTTGTGTTAGGACTTAAGTGAATCTATGGCGCAAAGGGCTACGAGGAACGAATAGAGGTTTAACCTGTGTGAAATTTCGAACAACACTCGTTGTGCGAAAGCTTCCCCAAGGCTTCGTGAATTAAATATGTATTGCGACACACAATGGTAGCAGAAAGAGGAGCAAAGACGTGTGCTGGTGCACTATGCAGGATCGGCTAAGTTTCGCGACACTCAGGATATTCCCAAGCTCTGGCGACACCCCCTTAGGAACGAGCCAACAGGACGAAAAATTTAAATACACCCCTCAGCGCGTCGCGTTTCGTTGGTTACGATAGAACCAGCCATCGCGTCAAGAACGGTCGACAAATTTGGGCGGTGTTTTCAAACATGAGGCATGTTCTTCCATTAGTTTGTCGTTCCACTGAGTACAGAAGTGCACCCATGCAAAAAAAAAAAGTGTCAGAAACTTTTCGTGATGATATTTTTTAAAGGCACGGGGTGTTTAAATTTATTTTGAAGCTTTTAATACCTGCACTAAGTCTGTTTTATAATAATCAGCATGGTAGCCTCTGAGATCAGTACCGGCCGAGCGTCTTACAACGTCACGACCGTATCTAAACATGAGGCCACGTGTCAGCCTGTACAGTCTAGCGCGCTGCTAGACTGTACAGGCTGACACGAGCACAGGCGGCTGGTTAATTAGCTGTTTAGCTGGATGGTATCCTTCGCAAGTTAGGCCAGGACATGCTATGACCAAGCTAATTGCGCCAAGTCATGGTAAGACCGAGGTAATTAGGCCAAATCTTAAGAAGACCGTGCTAATAAAGCCAAGTAAAGCTAGAACCAGGCTAGCTAAAGCGGCATAGTTGAAGAGCTAGAGCTAACTAAACTATGCTAAATAACGCGACGTTAATTATGAGGACGGTAAGTAAAATCATGCTAATTAGCCCTACTAATAATATCATAATTAGTATCCCGCTAACCAGGAATACGTTTAATAGCTTCATACTGATCATGGTCTTGCTAATTAGGCCCGAAATAATTGCCTTTTAATTGATGGGTTATCAATGAAGACAAGACAGCTCAGTGTTGTGGTCATTAAGCCTCAGTCAATTAGTTCAATCAAACATAAAACTTAGCTGATGCGGCCTTCACTTCGAAGCCGATCCCCCTCAAGAGTAGGCGACCAACTCAAAAAAGCTGCAAGTAGCTAGGTTATCACAAGCTCCTCCATGGCTCCAGCCTTGCACAAGCAGTGTACGCTCACCAAATTATTTTATATGCAAAGAAGCTGCCGCTTAGCGTTCACCGCATCAAACGCTTGACAGTCACACCGGCATCATCATAGTCCCGAGTTGAACTCGGGCCTTCTCTGAACAAACGAGTTTGTATCCGAGTTCACGCTTCAATCAGTTTGATTGACAGACGCCCGCGGCGAAGATCGGGTACGCCCATCACGTCTGCTCTTGCCGAGGATCAGTACTAGCGTCGAGTGGCACGATTTATCTATCAGCTTTATCGTGTAGACTATATGCACAGACGCACGCAGAAGTAAAATTGATATCACCACGTGACTACGATGTTTCGCATTCAATTTCACCGCACTCACGATGTTACCAATCACAGCCACGTCGCCGCCATGATGCGAGCGGCCCTGGTGACCACCTTTCCCTATATTTATCTGCAATATTTGATAGGAGCGAAACGAGCAGCACAAAAGTGCTGCGTGTGCAGTGTGCAGTGTGCCTTCGAGAGTGGAAATTTCTATGCTGCAGGTGGAACGAAGGAACATGTCCGAAAGAGGACATACGCTCACGAACACGCCTGTGGGAGGCGCTTGTTAAGTTGGCAAAAAGATAGCACGGAAATCACGCTGACGTCGCTGCACTGTTCAAATGTTGACTGAGTGGCGACGCTAACGTGTTCGCACATGATGTTTCTTTGATAACCGCCGCAAATGTCCCACATGCGTTTCCAACGCCATGCGCGTTCTGGTTGCCATTTTTATCAACGCTGCTACCTCGCGCTCCGCACTGTCTTCATGACATGGCCGACGCAGGGCGAGCTCGGAGCGAACTCGCCTGCCCGAGAAGCTCGGGCCATCCTGCATAGCACCTCTGCCCGTTTTCTGCTTCTCCAACTTCTACGTTTGTGTCGCACAATATGTTTCAGTCATGACGAACCCTCCTACCTTTCAATGCTTTTATGAATAATATAAATGAAGACAAAATAACAGGGTACGTACTTGCATTCACTTTGGGTGAGCTTGGACGCATCAGTGCAGTAGTGAAACTTGCCATTGAATAGTTGAACGGATATCACAGCAAAGATAAATTGGAACAAAATGTACACGATGAGTATGTTGAACACATTCTTGAGGGATGTGACTACGCAGTCGAACACGGCCTACAAGGAAGAATCAGATGTGTTACCATGCGCATTAAACAGAACGAAAAGACAGCAAACCGAGCGTCGTTTACTCAGAAGTACGTGCCACAAGCAGAATAAATAAAAATTCATTTTACCTTTAGCTTGGGGACGCGTTTAATAGTTTTAAGTGGCCGCAAGACTCGTAGAACCCTCAGTGATTTGATGGTGCTTAGGTTCTGACCTGTGGAGCTTCCCCTGCAGTAATATCAAAACCAACAAATTAATCTTCTTTTGCTCGACTACTTTATTACTGAACCACGCAAAACACAACGATAAATAATTTGCTCTAAAGTTTGCTCTAAGCGTTTAATGTAACACCTAAAAACAATTCAAACTGAAGCCTCAATAAAGTCAGGCCAGCCAGTAAGTTTTTAGCTATTTACGCCTTTACACAGGCAGTTGTACCTGTTTAAACAGATGGGTTACTGTTGTAATTAACTCACTGAGGTCTACCTATACCGGTGAAAGTGTTGCATTCTATAACTTCTAAAGCCGCAGAGCTTATGGCTGTGCAATGTGTCATAGATGGTTCGTGTTAACATTCACCTCGTCGGTGAGGCGTTTTAGCAATTTGAATGAAGTCATATACAATATCCGCAGTGAGTAAAAAAAAGAAACAAGAAACACACACACATCAACAAAATCACTCATAAGTTGACTCACTCAGACTCAGATCGAGCTATGAGCCTGAGTTAGTGCGGGTGATTAACATTTTTGAAAGTATGAGTTCGAGTGAGTCCGCTTGATAAAACAATAGTAAGGGTGTGTACGAGTGAGTCCGGTTGAGGAAAATATTGGTGAATGGGAGTCCGATCGAGCCCAAAGCGCAATGTATATTTTATAAGTGAGACAGAGTGAGCTTGAACCTTTATTGCTGGCTAGTGGTACTATATACACACCTTTAGCATTACTATCAACCTTATATTGCCATACGTTTATAGTGAAATCTATTCACTCATATGCCAATGCACTACCATTCCCATGCCACCTTATTATTTATTGATCAGAGACATCAGTTAAAAGAGTGCTACGACTCCCCCCCCCCCCCCCCCACAAATTCTTTGACGGCAAGTTTGTGATAAAACTACCTCGCGTGAGTCGTGTATTTTATGAGAATGTCTTTAGTGCATTAAAACAAATGACAACTAGTATTTTAAAGTGTCCGATAATATCAAAAAAGCGTATTGTAGAGCATGAATTATGTGGGATATTAGTGCTAAAGAGCACTGACACCACGACAGAAAAAAGCTAATTTTACGTTAACGGACTCATGAGTCGACTCACTCCGGCTCAATTAAACTCATGTTAGGCCATGAGTTTGAGTCTGAGTGAGTCCGACTGAGTAATATGTTGATTGCTGAGTTTGAGTTCGAGTGATTTCGGCCAAGAAAAATGGAATCTGATTGATGAAAACTTCGCTAAATCTGCGTCTGAGTGAGCCCTCAGAATAAACAATATTTATTGAGTGAGTCTGTGTGAGCTCCAGTCTTTTTTGCCGACCTATCCTACCAACAACTTTTCAAGAAGCGATTTCTATAATTGAAGAGTTACTGTGGAGTTCTCTAAAAAACGGAGATTAAGTTGAGCCCATATTTTACCAACAAGATCAAGATCAGTTGCTTTTGTAGCAACCGATGGCATTTTCCGCACATTTTGCTCGTAGCAATAATACTACTAGGTAGCGATAGCTATAACCCAAGGCCAACGACAACAGACTCAGTGATAGTCAAATACGAGCGCCAGTGATAGCATTATTACTTTTAAAGACGATAGTGTTTCTTGGAGACCTTTGACGCAAAAATGTTGGTCTGCCTGTCTGTTAATTTGTCTGTTTGTCTGCCCTTAATGGTACCCTAAACGGCATCAAAGTGGCCAAACGATACCCTAAACGGCGGACCCCATCCGCAGCGCCTACCAATATTGCTCAAGATTCAGCGTTCATGCTTGTGTGATTGTCAATTAAAAATCAATTATTGCACATTTCTCATAAGGACTTTAGCGTTTATCACATTGCGCTGACGAGGCAACGCTTGCACGCAAAGGCAAGTGTTTCCAACGCTTTGCTACGACGACACGGTGGTGGCACCTACCCGTTGCCTTGCGTTCTACACCTTATCACCTCCGAAACAGACGCACAGGGTGCGCGCGCTTTTTTTGCCAAGATAACTGCCAGATAGCACTCATGTCTCACGTGTGACGTGACTTGATGCGCTCGTTAGCCTCTGCTGCACGCTCGAGGCACTCTAACGCAGCGCCTCCAGAATACCATTCACCGATTTTCTTGCTCAGAACATCAAATAAACGTTTTGTTCACTCTCTCCAGACGCGAGACTATCATCTTTCGACGACATTTGCAGTGTAACATGTAGATACAAAGCCATTTTTTATATTTTTTTGCGTTTTTTGTCTCATTTTACATGATTTACCATCATCATTTTTTTAACGTGCTCATGTTTTGTGTCGTTTACTTATTTTCATGGTCTGGAATTATAGTTTTCGCCACCAAGTACGACCTACCAACTTGCCACTTCCACCACTTATTATTATGCTTCGGCAATGAAACTCAGTGGGTTTCACCAGCTACCGCATGCATTCACATGAATCTTTGCTTTTTGCTTCCAATTACGACTGCACTTGCGAATCTTCAATCGTGGTGTAACTTATCGAGCCGCATTCTCTTCCACATCACATTCACCAACGCTTACTGATTTATAATTTATCCTATCGATGATTGATTGATTGATTGATATGTGGAGTTTAACGTCCCAAAAGCACCATATGTATATGAAAGACGCCGTGGTGGAGGGCTGCGGAAATTTCGACCACTTGGGGTTCTTTAACGTGCACCCAAGTCTGAGCACACGGGCCTACAACATTTCCGCCTCCATCGGAAATGCAGCCGCCGCAGCCGGGATTCGATCCCGTGACGTGCGGGTCAGCAGCCGAGTACCTTAGCCACTAGACCACTGCGGCGGGGCATCATTCATCGTATCCCCGATAGTAGTGCATGCAGTTCTTGTGGCGCAAAAACAATACTAAGCACCCTTTATGCAGTCGCTTTGCTTTCGTTGGTTGACCGGATTCTGTTCGTGCTAGTCTGAGCCATTCAGACGACATGAAACTGACAGAGAATCTCGAGTATGCACATGACGATTCAAATAGTGCTTAGATCGTTTAGGGTGATTGACGTCCGCCTGTGATTATAGACGGAATAGAAAGTTGCAGTTCTGGTATGTGCATCTCCTGCCTGGCGATTCCTCCCCCTTTCCCTCCCCTATAAATACAGGGTCTGGTCTGTGCATTCGTTAACCTAGCACCTGTCTTCATCTCTGAGTAAAAATCTGAAGCCGAAGTAACTGCCGGGGAGACACAACATGTCGTGCCGTTGGGCGGTTGTCCCTCAGGGAAATTATGGCGTTACTAATTTATGACAAGCCTGGTAAAGGCTAAGAGTCTGAGCAGAAGCCCAAATCTGAAAAAAACAACAAATATTAGTAGAAGCTTTCACGGCTGCGTAATGTCACCGAAGTTATTAAATACACCAATATCGAATTGGCATCGAAAGACAGTACCGGAAAGGAAGCTTTTTTTTTTTTTACAGCAGAACAGACTTACGCAAATGCGAAGGCAATGAGTGCGCAAATGACAACAATGGCATCTAAAATGTTCCAGGAGTCTCTGCAGTAGGCTCCCGGGTGAAAGATGACGCCCTGATCGGCGATCTGAAATGCAAAAGCACGTCCAAGTTGTGCGCAAAATACTGCCGGATAAAATTTCTTGCCTTTAGAAGCATCTCGACAGTGAACACCCCCGTAAACGCATAGTCGAAGTAGTTCAAGATTCTATTCTTTGTCGAGTCTTCCTCCACTGGGTCTTCTGCGGCTAAGGCAATGCTACTAAGCGTAATGGTGATCATGATGAATAGCTCGAAGTAACGAAGATTAACAATGAAATGGGCGGCTCGTCGGATCCTACGAATCAGAAACAAAGAAAAAAAAAACGCGTCATGTTAAGCATAAAAAACACGAAGACACTAAATTGCAGCAGTTCACGATAACAAGAGGAATAATGCTCATTTCGGTAGCAGAGACCAACAACTTCCGTGGGGAAGGACAAGACGGAAAACATGTATATAAAAATACTAACCGAACAGACAATATTTTTCATCTCGGCTAGCTCTATGACGTCCGCATAATTGCACATGAGCAGCTGCTCACTTAGACATACCATCAATGGTATATTGTAGCTCAGAGACAAAAGCTTTCTAAAATGAAATTATTCGCTTAACTGTCGACGCTCATCATTAGAACCCGATCATACCACTTCTCTATCATAGAGGTAGCCATCTTGACGACTAGCTGGCAATTTGTCCTTTGCGTCCCCTAGACGGTGGTGAGCCATTTAGACGGCTTGTTTATTCAAAGATTGTTCTAGCTTCACATATGCTCGCTCTTTCATTGAGGCCCATCTTACAAATAGACACCTCAGCTTGGGTCTTCAAAATTTTTTGGTTGGCGTCTTTAACTCACACCTTGCTTTATGCTGGCTTATCATTTTAAATAGCTGCATTTTAAGGACAACGAGTGTAAGGCGTCTTAAAGGCAGTCTCTTTTGAGTGATCTACTTTTCCTTATTTTCTATTTGCAGATGCAACGGGTCGTTCCTTCTACACACGTATATTTAAGCTCCTAATGAAACGAGTTGAAGTCATTAGCCATCGCGTTTCGTTGATTCCGTGACTTGAATTTCACCCGGCCTGTTATTATGGTTCGGACAACGCAACAATTCCTCATGACGGTGGCGCCTACCCCTCAGTAAAAAGAAAAAAAAGTAAATACCGCGTGAATTCGTGTGAATGGCAGAGCACAAATAAAAATATCTCGTTCGCACTTACAGAGGCGCACCACCTGCAAAATCAGATTGCAATTCGTGGTAAAGACAAGAGCGAAGGGAACAGCGAAGGTCAAAAAAACCTTTTTATTGAGAGCTCACAAGTGCGTAAACGTGGTGGGATACAGCGCATTTTCAACTGGTCAGGCAGGTAGGGCGCAATAATGTGACATTTTTTTTTTCAATGTCCCATAACTTAAAGGGACTGTCTACCCCTCGGAATTTTTTTTTCTGATTGTGGCGCAAATGAAAAGATCGTTTATCACATCGGCGGCAACTAGCATGCTTTCGGGCCAGAAACAAGGAATTATAATTTTTACTTCATGTTGAAAGTCGATAAAAAGTGACCACTAGTGTCACCTAACAGCGAATGTGGTCAATCTTGATAATCTATTGGTAGGACAAAAATTCTCGCAGGTAAACTTACTTTGCCTAAAAACAAACATGTTTAACCTGTGATTGTATTTTATGCACTAGAGGCAGCTTTAGGTTGCGCCAGAGACCAATTTTTGCCTTTTTTTCCCTCATGTGCTCACATAGGCGCACGGTGGCGCTGCCAGCAGTGTGTTCGCTTGCCTGCATGCCTGCCTGCAAACGGTGGAGAAACACGACCTCGGCGGCCGCTGACACTCATGTGAACAAAAAAAGTGTGTGTGCCTAAAACGACCACTAAGATATTTGTTTTTTTTAATAACCAAACTTAATGAAGCCTGCATTAAAACCACACCCGGTTTCAGTTTTCGACTTTTACCGGCACCGACCAGTGTTGTGGGCATTCATCCCACCGATAGAAGGAGACATAACGCAGACAGAATACTTAGAAATTTCTACGCACTTTATGGAGAAACCGCTGCAAGGTTAGACACTTCACATGGTACCCTTTTAATTGCGACGCAAAACAGGAGAGCAACGAAGGACGGTAGACAGTCCCTTTAAATTTTCAATTGGGTGAACTAAACACTAAAATCCAGCGGAATGTACTGAATTTCTATGTATGTTAATTTACCTTATGCTCAATATGCTTATATCGCACAAAATAATACGCGATATGAGCAGAAGATTGCAGTCATGGTAAGCAGACGTCCTGCATAGTTGTTGGGGCGGAACAAATATGCCTCTAGGTTCGAACGTACCACTGCCCCTTAAACGAGAACGGTAATACTCGGGTAAAGTTGTTCCTTATACGTGTGCTGCTCTAAGAGACTGAGGCTAACTATTGCTAGATGTTTAAATGTAAATAGAAGAAAACATCTACAATTTCAAATACTGTCCGGTGCAATAATCATCAGAAAGAATAACCAAGAATATTTCCCAGCGACTGAGAGTCGATCTTTTTAGCGCCTATGTAACTTTCAGAGTAGAAAACACTTTATTAAATAAGTCAGCAGTTAGGAGAAATGAAAATATTGTTTCGATTGTTTCTGTTTTAGAGTGTATAATTGTGTATGTCGGAAATAAAAAACTATTTATTTAATTTATTTATTACATCTCAAAGCTTTCTTTCCTGAGGGCTTTGAGGGAAGTTTCATGTTTTTTTAGATATACTGCCAACTGTATAGCGAAAACTTTCTTTTAAGTAAAAGAATAAGTAAACAATGAAAAAGGAAGAAAAGTCTTTACATATGAAGACAGAACATGAGTATACGGTTCTCGGTAAATTTCTTAGACAGAAAAAGTGCCAAATCGATCAATAAATGGTAATTGCAGTGTCAGAGTCTCTGTTTGGGGCTCCCAAACAATGTGTTACTTACGGATTTGTCGGTGAACAGACGAACATGCAAGAGTACGGCATCATTGGCTTTGGACCAGTAATATCGTCTTCATCGTCATCCTCCCTAGGAGGTGCATAATCTGCAACATGCGCGATACAGAGTGGTGCACTTTTCTCACAGTGAAATACAAGACACAGCCGTATATGTGTGACAGATAACATTATACAGCGCTTGAACTTGCGCGCAAAAAAAACAAAACACGCACAGCCGCGAGTAGAGTCAAAGTTCGTTGCAATTTGGACTAAGGCATCGGCTATATACATCCCTTATCCATACAGAGCACGATTTAGAGCAACCGTTAGCACTCGCTAACATTACAGCATTGCAAATCATCGCTTGAGTCAAGCGCACTATCAGATTCTACCCAATTTTGATATAAAAATCTGCAACCACATTATACATTTGTCGGTACTTTGAATTCAAGATTGTACAATTTCCCTCGGGCACAAGGGGGTGGAGGGTGGGAAACAAGTAGCAGCCACAATTTTTTTGACAAGACCTACCGGCAACGCGTAACACTGCATTTCTCGATGCAGTTTGAACCATGGCAGCTTCTTTTCTGATAAGTATTCATGGCTTCAGGAAAGCGGCCGCAGAAGAAGCGTGAATATATGTGATAGATCTCGAGTAAACAAGACAAAAGTGACGCTGCGTGTTGTCACCCTGGTGAGACGTGCATGCTCCTTGTATAATTGTTTATTGGGAAATAATTGGGTACCTTCATCGACGTCGATGTTGTTATTGTCATTGGTTCCCTTGAATTTAGTTCCAGCTTCCAACTGATTTTCTTGACTGCAAGGAGCACAGAATGAGCGGCAATGTTGTTTTGTCTCAAAAACGTGCGACTCGCTAAAAGAAAGGCTGTTGCAAACTCACAAAGGGAAAGTTTTTCCTTTGCCCGGCGCACCGCTTTGAGGCGATGGCGGACATATGTTTACTTGTGGTGGATCTAAACTACCCGCTGTAGCCATTTGCAGATCAGCAATTTCCTTCTCCAGCTCCTCCTTAGCTCTCTGTAAAAGTGATGCAACGAAAAAAAAAAAAGATTGAAAGGTTATTCACTGAACTGCACAAAATTGCAAGTATAGGTGGAGCACGCGATGTTTTCAAGTACTGGGGAAAACTTTTAAACACGCCGGCCAAGTTGAAAATGCACTTCCTGATGTTTCGGTTCTGACACGGGAGTCTTGCTCTCAATCTAAAACAACTTTGAAGAATGCTTGAAAACGTCCAAATAAATAAATTTTCACCTTGGTCTTTCAAAGTTTTGAGTAATGTTTCATACCGATAACATGACATTTTGTCATACCCTCGACTTCACATCACTTGCACTGCTGACTATTAATGGAGAATAAGACGGCGGTGAAAAGGAAAAGGCTTGTCACGTAGAATAGGCTCTATAGCTGTACAAATAAACGTGACAGCAATCTCATTAGGAAAGAAAGAACCAAACAGAAATGGAGAAGGCGGGGAGGTTAACCAGAATGACTTCCAGTTGGGTATCCAACACTGGGGGATTAGAGAAGGGGACAAGAAAGAGGGAGGAAGGAAGAGAATGAAAAAAATAGAGAGAGAGGCAGTGAATTCCCTGCAGCATGTAGAACTTCACTGCAAGACAGACGCAGGTAAGAACGAATTCAAGAACGAATCCAATTTTTGTGCCACGGAGGTGCGGCCTGATGCCCTATTTCTGTCTCGTCGAAGTTGTCATGAAGTTATTACCGCATTATTTGAAAGATTTTTGCCATAAGGATGGACTATGTGAAAGCTTCTCACGTCTGTTCTGACTAGTCAGGACAATAGATACACTGTGCGGATGCAAAATGAACACAAATCAACGTACAATTATTCACCCCAGCAGCCCATCCTCGTAGTTTCACAATATTTCTACTCTTAAAGCACCGCCCTACTAACCTTAACCTATAAACAGCAGTTACGTGGAGGATCGCAAGTGTGACATTACCGTATAAGGAACATAGTTTTTTTGTGTGAAAACATACATACAAGTGCGGCTGCTATGCAAAAATGATCCCTGCGGAGTCTCAGGGAGCTGACGCATTGCCATGCAAGACGACTGCGAAATGGCACGTCTTGATGGGCGATACCAACCTCCTTCTCCTCCTCTGCGTCTTCCTCCTCGGCTGCCGTCAATTCCTGGGCATTTGCCAGGTTGTCCACAGCGATGGCCAAGAATACGTTTAACAGGGTATCTGTTCAGTGAGTCAAGGGTGGCACTGCGAAAAGTTTCTGAAGAGCTACAACAATAATTCGGTGCATCTGTCGGGTATATGTTTCAACTTTCCGTAAACCAAAATAAAGATTGAAATTAAAAAAAAAAAGAAGATGGTATTGACCGTGTGTAACATATGCCGTGTTTTTTTGCGCTGAACTCATCTGTGTTAGAATGCACAGTGAATGACAACTAATTTATGCCATTCAGCTAGGTAAACCAAATGATTGGAGAGATTGCATTTGCTGTTGCGTTGTGCAGGGCAGCAGCGGACTATATTTTAGGAATCTGTCGTTGTAGTTGCCGATTATTCATCGTTCAGTTGCTGATCATATATTCGATCATTATTTTATCATTATTATTACCTAATACGGTTGAGCAAAAAAATATGGGCTGTGAACGATGACGCAGCCGAGACTCCGAGCCTGGTGTGCTTCAACGTTCACTCAACACCCGGCACAAGACTGCTTCTTTTTATGCATTCTGGCGCTATTGCGATGCAGTGACGGCAGCCACAAATGAAAACCGTGACATCTTGGTGAATATCAGGACGCGCCATATTACTCGAGAACCGTGGTGGGAGCGGCCACTGATACGGCATAGCTCCAACATAATGTGCTAATTAAACCGGGCCATAGGATTGTGCGCACTTGTGTTGAAATAATTAGTGTTAATACAATTCAGCAAATAAAAACGTAACCATTAAACAAGGTCAAAAGTGCTGTGTGATGACATTTTTCTGAAGAATGAAATAGATTACATGCAAGCTTGCTCACCTGCTGTATAGCTTTAATATTATCATACCTCAAATATTTTTTATCGTTTGTGGTGGGTAACTATAATGTAGAAAATATTTGTATCAATATATATTTGAAGTCTTTTGAAATAATTTGATGTGCGACTGCGTGATACCCTCTGTACGTGCCATAGCAAAGCGCGTGCTCCAAGCAGTGTTGTCATACTGAAAACGAAAAGGATACAGTTGCCAAAAAGGACGAGAATGATGAAGTAAAGGCTGTAGATCATCCCACCATGAATTCCATCTTGGGACTGAATGCCATTATACATGACCTCGTTCCAATCTTCCCCCGTTAATATCTGACAAGAAGAAAGGAGACAAAAACACTGACGTCATACAGAGAGAAATATAAAGAGAAAAAATGCAAAGGGAATGCAGTTAGCTTATCCACTTTTCCTGTCATTTGCTGTGCCTTACACAATGTGCGGACAACCGGGCGCAAAAAAGAAGAAAATGGAGAACAGCTGATGCGTCCACACGCATAGCAACGTTCACAGACTATCGCCGAGCTCAGTTGTCTTGAGAAAGTGAAATGGCACCTTCATGGCTCGCAGAGCAGGTTACGGTCCCGGCCATGTTCCTTGTACTTTTTCTAGAGCGAAAGCTCTGTCATCCAGCTAGCTTATAGCGGCGTATAATGTCTCCCTCTTGTTACAAGATGGGAAGTATGTGGCGCAGTTTACCAAGAACAAACCTTACGAGCCGTGCATGCTGACTGTTAATAATAATAGTAATATTAATAATAATAATAATAATAATAATAATAATAATAATAATAATAATAATAATAATAATAATAATAATAATAATAATAATAATAATAATAATAATAATAATAATAATAATATAATAATAACATTCACAATATTTATTTTGCAATTCGTTATACTTCTTATCTCTTGTATGCCGATGACCTCAACATATTTAAGGAAATCCATTCAGTTAACGACTGTCGCTTGCTGCGGTCAGACTTGTCTTCTTTCTCGGAATGGTTTAACAACATTAACCTGTCGCTGAATAATTCAAAGACCAAGTTCATGAATATATATAGTAAAACATTCATAGCGTCATTTACATACTTTGTCAATACCGTGTCGTCATGTAAGGTTCAGTGATCTTGGTGTTCTTTCTGATAGCGTGATCAATTTTCTGCTCCCACTAAACGCACTGCCCAGTGTGTTTGCAGAATTTCTCAAGAATTCAGTTCTCCTACAGCCTTCCAGAAATTGGGCACCGCAATATGTCTTCCTCAACCTGAGTATGCATCTGTGATCTGGAATGGCATCAATAAATCCGGCAGTGATGGCATTGAGCGAGTCCAGAAAAAGTGATAAGCATTTGCAACCATCATTTTGCCTGAAATAACTCTGTATCTGGTTCTAACATTGTCGGATTATTATCATTGCTATCACTTCACTGCCGACGAAATCGCACTGACCTGTTGTTTCTTTACAAACTGTAGTTTATAGTATGCAGGCCTGCTCTTTGCTTCTCAATTGGTAAATTTTCGAATCCCGCGTAAGTTAACTAGAGTGAAATAATCGACCGTTTCGTGTTCCAGCCAACTTCTTTCAACACTCTACCGCTTACAGAATACAAAGTCCACATAATTTTAACTTTCATGATACTGATGTTTTTCACAATATCTCATTGTTTTTATCTGAGCTTTGCACTGCTTGAACTTTGTTTTCAAAATGTACATATTCTTCTCTTTTCCGTCTTTCAGGAAGCCTTCCTCATAGTTGTGTATATTCCTTTTTATTTGTGAGCAAATTCATAATCCTCGTTTTGTCTGTTTATTCTTCCTATTTAGCGCTGATTTCTTTCTATCTGTGCGTTTTCGCTCCTCTTATTTAGTTTGTTTTTCTGAATACTTTTTCTGAATTGTATTGATTATTTTTATTTTTTTTAACTTTTTGCGAGCGCCTGCGCAACGCCCTTATGGTTGTTACTGGGTACGTTAAATAAGCAAATGATTGAATGATGAAATGATTGATTATTATGTTAGGAGAAAGCTGTAAGTTCCTATTAGATGGCATGCAGTAGAAAAGCTCACGTAACACTTTGCGCACAATGAACCATAAGAACAATGGTTCACACCGGGATTGAATCCAGATACTCTGCATGGCAGTCCAGCATTCTACTACAAAGCCACACGAACGTTTTAGACTCCATCGGAAAAGGGCCCTAAGGCAGTGTCATTTCGGCCCGGGGAGTTATTTTTAACGGATGCAATATTGCGCAGCCGAAGCGCCGAACGGCATCAGGTATCACAACACGGGAATTGCGTAACGAGTGGGTGGTTCAAGTTGCCCACCCACAACTATGAGCTGAGCCGTCGATTATAGTCATCATCCCCATCAGCCACAGCATCAACAGGGTGTGCGTCATAGAACTGGTTAAGTGAGTTGGTGTATTTCAACACAAAAAGGAACAAACTGGTCAGCTTGACACATGCGTGAAGCCAGACACACGCGCAAGCGTTGTATGTATGTATACGGCTTTATGTGTGTGTCTAGTTGGGCAACTTGTTTTCTTTCTTGGTTGAGTCTGTAACTACGTGGCTACATTGCCATAAATGCACATAGCGGGTACTTCTATACTTCACAGAATGATGACGAATTATGGCTTAGTGAGTACCTCGCTACTTCAGGTTGCCTACTACAGCTTGTAGTGGGACGGCGCCTTATAGGGTTTACAACGGTAAATCTCTAAGGTCACTCACCCAGCTTAGCCACCCAAGATGGCTTTCACCTTCGAGTCATCTTAGGGGAATGATAGCCCGCAAGTTAAAAAAAATACTACTCTCGTTTCTACCATTATTAAAACATAATAGCAAGTTGAATACCACGCTCACCCGCTCGAAGCTGCCTCTCGGGAAATGAGGCAGCTAATGCCCCGGCAGCATCAGCGTGCAGCCTTGACTTCACTGATGATACTTTGTTGGAGTTTGACGACGCTTCACTGCTTATACACAACATCGCCTATACGGCGCTTACACCCGGACGAACACGTTGCTGAGGAATCGTACCCAGCAGCAATTTCTGGCCGAGCTTCAGCGCGTCGCTGTATGTTTTTGTTGCTTCATTTACAAGTTCGAAGCGTAACAATGCCTAAAAACTGCCCTGAAAACAAGAATTACACGCTGATAGCTTGGCAATTCACTGCATAGTCTTAGCCTATATGCAATTACGGTATTATTCAAAGCGGTAAGGAAAGATGTTCGTACACAACTCATTTAGGGTGACGGGAACATCACATATAGTGACAGCACGTAACTGCATAAGCGGCTGCACCGGTGGTGCTCCGTTAGTGTTCACGCGGAGAAAAGTGAAGAGTACCTGAAACACTGTGAGCAAGGCAATTGGAAAAGTGTTGAAATTTGCCGCCGGCGTGCCCTCGGGAAAGTTAAATCTGCGAAAGAGAAGAAAGAAGATAAATGAAAACAGGTTTAGTTCGAAGGTCACTCTTTTATTTTTATACCATTTTTGAACGCTATAAACTCAATTTTAACATTTATATATGCCTGCTTTCCTTCAAAAAGATAAAAAAAGGCAGTATCAGGATGTAATGCTTCCACTAAGCAACTTCATAATATCTCGGACTGCTTAATGCAAGTATTATATCCCGATAGTGCATGCAGTTTTTGGACTGCAGCGAGCATCCAGCTCCACCTGATCTTCTGGCCACTCTCTTCCACAATGCGTTAGAAATGTACTTAGTTATCCGAGCCTCGTGATACAGCTCGGGGCCGTACAAAGAATTGAGGAGGTGGCGGCCAGCACGGCCTGACCACCATCCCTCGGTGAAAAATACTCTTTTTCACTTAAACGAACTTGCTTCTCCCTTTCTTGCAGTAAGCATTGCCTGTGCTGTTTTCATTGCCGATAGAAGGACGGGTTGGTTACAAGCCTTATCAATGAGGCGTATAAGGCTAAAGATTCAATTCGTGCTTCGCATCGTCGGGCGTTGTAATTATAATAGTTCATCATTGTCAATGGGACACATGGCTGCGCAAGTGTTCGCTCAACTACGAAAAGCTGCGAAACATGGTTTTTGGTTGCACCTTTTTGTATATATGGTGTCCGTTATTAAGTTCAGACCATCATTTATAAACATGTTTAATTTTATCTATAATTTTATGTTTACTAAGTTTTTTCCGCACTTTTTTTGTTCAAATGACTTTTTTCAAATAATAGACACTAATTATTTTATCGAAAATTCATAGACCCATAAAAGTTCACGTGGTTAAAACTTAGAAATTCAAGCTCCAGAGTGCGTAATTTTTTCTTCAAGTTCACCTCATAACAACAAGCTACAAGGCATGCGCAAAGCGACAACGTAGCACTAAGGTAACGCAGGGATGCTATATTCTTTTGCTTACATGGTTGTAGGCCGGGTATATCATATGTTTATCTACTTCCCTCAGAGAGACAACAATAGCCGTATAAATATCAATATGTTCGGCAATAAAGTGCGCTAAGGAACAGTGATTAGCTGTCGCAAAGCCTTCTCACTTGATCATTCAAAGTTTTTAATAAAACGCTGCAGATTTGGGGAATAAGGCAAACAAAAAAGATATTGCTGATTGTTCCCTCAACAGTGTTAGTTAAAAGAAACGCGTTCTGCTGAGTATCCAAGACAACGGCACAGTTCGCTGAAGTCCTCGTCATTGTAAGCTCTTGCCGCCACTCTAGGTCGACCACGAAATCACGAGTACAGCTGAGAAACCCGCAATGACAGTGAGCCGCGGCGTCTCACAAAGGCGAGTTTTGCACTTACACGCCGCCGAAGAGTTGCATGCCAAGGAGCGCGAAAATGAGGATGAATAGGAAGAGCAGGAACAACAAGCTGATGATGGAGCGCATGCTGTTCAGCAAAGATATCACCAGGTTTCGTAGCGAAGACCAGTACCTGCGCAGCAAAAGAGAAATGCATGCGTCTAAGGATGGTGATCACAGGAAAAAAAAAAAAATCGCACTCTTGCAACCAGCGACAGGTGGCGTTGCTTGGCAATATCGTAAATCTAGCTCTTAGTTCACTGAGCATTACGGCTTGGTGGCGTTAGCCACCGCTGATTTAAAGGGTACAGCCATATCAATTCATCCAATCCATCCATCGTGCGCACTCAGACCAGAGTAATTCAATACGCAAAGTTTACTAAAGTCATTCAGTAGAGTCATTCAAAGCATTGAATGACTTTGCTCATACTACTAATGTTCCAAGGGCGCTTTGCGTTGAGAGGTGGCTATGTCGGATGGTCACATACTCCACTCAGATCGCTATGGATTGACTAAAGCAATCTGTCTTTGTTCGTTGCGATGTCCTTAATTGATTAACCAAAATTGGCATAGGCTACAGATATCGGCTTGGGAACGACCCAATGCTAAGTTAACGAGCCAGCCATAAAATCTCGACGGTCATCTTGCGGATCACAACCGAAATGCCCAAATCGTTCACCTAAACTTTGAAACGAAATAAAATCTTGCTACCGGACGTCTGACTAGAACCTGCCTTACCGATGTAAAAATGATCCGACTCATGTATGTTAGATATAGACTTCACGTGGTAATAAATGCACGCTACCAAAAAGATGCTGGGATTGCTAACGGAAACTGAGATATTTTTCACAGAGTGCTGGTAGTGAGAAAGCGTCCTTACTGGTACAGTAAGATTTCTTTAGACAACTGAACGTAAATGAAGCAGCTGTCACAAAACCCCAGTGACAACCAGCCCGCTTGTTAATCTTAGAAGAAAAAAAAAAAGGAAAACGTGCCAATTCAGTGAAAGTTCAATAAAACAATAGGCCATATAACATCACTTCGAATAAAAGTGCTCGCAGACAACTTCTGGTTTCAACAATGTTCCCGAATCTATGGACAAAGTTGCAGATGAAGAAACGAGAAACACTCACTCAATCATAGGCGTGCGAACTGGGGGGCAGGGGGTTGGCCACCACACCACCCCCATAGGAACTTAAATTGGGGGGGGGGGGGGGGGGAGGCGGAAACCCAGACCCATACATTCACATAATAGGAAAGTGGGCGCTGTGACTCTGGGGGGGGGGGGGAGGGGCTGGCAAAGTTAGCCCTACACATTTTCGTAATACCGGAGGGGGGCGAACCATCGGACCCGCCTGAAGGGGAGCCCTGTGCACACCTTTGCACTCAGTGCAGCAGATTCAATTTTGGTTGCATATGCGAGTGTCCTGAATGACGAGGTAAAGGAATTTTTAGTGCTCTGCGAAGTTTTCCTTTATGAACAACACCAATTTAGCTTGCTGTTTGACCTAATAACCATGCGGATCGACTTTAGCGCATTTTATGCAAACACTGAATATAGTTGCTGAGTTTAGAATATAACTTGTAACTGTCTGCAGCGCACCAATCTTTTCTAAAGTAAGGCACAGATATGAAGGGAGGGGGCCCGATGCTGTATGATGTGTAAAACCGAGTTATCCATCTGAATAACCTGATCAATGAAAGCAAATTGGTTTAGTCAAAGAGAGCGCAGGTACTTAGTTCTAGCAGTTTTTTCCCTTTCCCGACAGATGCGGAAGGTAGACAAAGAAGTGGATTTTCCAGCGCGTTTTCAAGACTCCAGAACAAATCGTGTGATCAGAACAGTGGTATAGAATGCATGAAAAAAGGGTCGATAAAAGCAAGGCACGCAATATTTCGTTGAAAATAAAGACGCTGGGCTGACATTTCGTGAATGTTAGCCCCGCACCCTCCCCTCCCTTTTTTTTTGGATTCACCACTCACTTGGTAAACTTGAATATACGCAGCAGCCGAAGGGCCCGAAGAACAGACAGTCCGAACGAGCCTTCCTTGAGGCTGGACCAGACCACTTCAAAGATGCTACCCGCTATAACCTGGACAACGGAGAAAAGAGAAGCTGCGTATTACAGTGCTCTTACACGCCGTGAAGTGCCACAACGCCTGTAACAACTTTGAGAGTAGCTTTGTAGCTCTTCTCAAAGGTTCGCGATGAAACAGCAGCAAGATTTCTGAAGTTATAAAACGTTTCTTTGGCAGATTATTTCACATGAAAGGCTGTTTTGCGCACTTCCAAACAGTTCTAGCGTAGTGAACTACACGTAAATACAAAATTACTACATTTAGATACGCATCTTAGCCAGGATTAACGAAGCATTCGTACAGTATAGCACTTCATAAGAACAAACCTTGGCCAATTGTGGCGCCCAGAATAAGTTATGGGAAGTCGGCTGGTCACCCGATAGAATTCTTCAAAATTTTAGCCGTTATATAGTATAGCTCATGAAGCCGCATTTTCGAACGATTTTTCATATTTCCCACCGTGTTAACGCTTTGTCAATTGCTTGCACGAAGTGCTTGCACCATCACCGACAGCCACCCTACTGGGATCAGCTTCTTAGCGGGATGCAGATGATGACGACGACAAGGGAATACGCTATGAAGAAAATGATATTTATAACATGAGGCCACACGTATATAGTTATGACATTATTACTTACTACACAGTCGAATCTGTTGAAAGACGATTCAAAATAAATGCGTGGTCCAAGAGCATACACCTTGATTAACATCTCGAAGATGAATAGCCCCAAAAATGCAAATTCTGCATAATCTGCAAGAAAAACAAAACGAGCCTGCTGTGAAAGCAACGCTGGTCTTCGCAAGGCAGAGAGAAAGGAACGCACTTATACTCACATAAAAAGTCTGTGAGATATTGATCTTGATCATGGTGCTCCACTGCAACGCACACAGTGTTTAAGAACACAAGTACAATCACAACCCAATAGAAAGTTTGCGTCTTGACGACTTGACGAATGAAGAACCTGAAGCAAAGGTCAGAGGCGTATATTTTTGCAGCACAAGAAAGGAATAAATTTTATGTGATGCACCTTACACTGAGAGTGTGAGCAAAGGATTGCTATAAGAAAGAAATAATGTTACATAATTGTTACCTATGCTATTAAACCCGGACTAAGACAAGTGAAAGAATAAAGCCGCAGATACTGCTAACTGAACGTTTAATGGCTGAAATATGACATATATACAGTGAACACGGGATCAATGAAGCTCATTGGACAGTGATACGCCTACGTCAAAAAGTAGCCTTACGGACGAGCTTCCGGTTAACAAAAAGTGGCAGTTTCTCCACCATAGGCTGCAGTTTGAATCATCCCCCACTTGCCGGCTCTACCAACCTAGGTCTCACAAAAGGCCCCAACAATTTTCGATCGAAGCATTCGAAGTTAGTTGAGTCATAGTTCTGTCCTGCATGATTGTTGTGTTGCGGAAGTCATGCGACCATGCAGCGACGAAACGTGTACAGGTGCAGGTAAGTAGACTGACGACTCCTGGTTATTCGTTGCCTTGAATTGCAGCAACTTGTGAAAAACTAGTTAAAAAGTTTAAAGGAAACGGTACATGGTCATCCCGGATTCGCGTCCACGAGAGTGGAGGATATGTAGTGAGATCATACCAGCAGAAGGTGTCACGTAACTTGAACATAGCGCAGCCCTATGGTGTATACTTCGTGTTTTGAGAATCTCAGAAAATGTCACGATTGCGTGCCAGGGTAATGAATGTTTTTTACAAACCACCTAATTCCCGCCATATTCTCGCCATATTGTTTGCCATGTTGAATATAGGTCAATGTTTGTTTGCTATATGTCTGCGCAGCGGTTTATGAATTTCCCTTTGCTTTTGAGAAAGTGTTGATTGATTGATACATGAAGTTTAACGTCTCAAAATTGACATATGATTATGAGAGTGGAGGGCTCCGTAAATTTCGACCACCTGAGGTTCTTTGGATTGCACCCAAGTCTAAGCACACGGGCCTAGAGCCTTTTCGCCTCCCCCGAAAATGCAGCCGCCACAGACGGGATTCGATCCCACGACCTGCGGGCAAGCAGCCGAGTAGTTTACTAGACCACCGCTGCGGCTGGCTTTACATCGGACAAAAGGGGTAGGTGTATAAATATCCGGCTCAAAGAGCATCTTAAGAATTGCTCTACAGGCGGCTATTCGCATGTGTCAAAGCACTGTAGGGAGAATAAAGTAGGTAGCGACAACACGTGTGAACCGCTTCTCGACACAACGAAGATCTTGTATCGCCATAGAGATCGATGCACCCTAAAACTCTTCGAAGAATTCAAGAGTAATACTAGAAGCGAGTGCATTAGCGAACCTTCGGCAGTTGTCGCTGATTGTGAGCTGTAATTTTTAGATGTTAATTCGTGATGTAGGCGTATCATTGTCCAAGAAGCTTGATTCATCACATGTTCACTGTATCACATGTTCACATGTAATCTTTCAGCCATTAAACGTTCACTTGTGAGTCTGCACGCATCGCGTCTTCCACTCGTTTTCGTCCACGTTCACTAGCGCAGCTGATAAGTTTTTAAAAGAAACGTAAACGAACTAGCTGGACTTAGTGCCTTACTAAAGTGACCAATATTCTTCAAGTCTCACGACTTATATCTAGACTTTAGAGTCTAGAAACAATGACCGTCTCTTTGGAAAATGTGTCTGTGTGTGCTGAGTGATATTATTCCATGCAGTGGCGAGTCAGCATGCCACCTGAAAATTGGTGCTTGAGAGACGCACCTGAATTGCTTCTCGGCCTTCCAGAAAGCTTTACAGGCTCCCTTGTTCTTAATCTTCGTTTTGAGGTAGGAAGCCCTTGCAAAGCCTGCAATAAAGGCAACGTCGTCAGTGGGGTTCCGGGCAGGGTGGGTGGAGTCACGATGCTCGGACTACGAGGTCCCCATCTAGCGCGCTCTATTGCAGGCAACACGCGCGCTGCGCGGGCGGCGCTTGGACCTGGACTACGTTGCGGGCAGGACACTGCTTCTAGATGGGGGGAGTCCCTGTACCTTTTAATTTAACCTTCCCAGCGGGGGTCTCTGAGGGCGAGACACACACCGTTCGAACCAGCGCACCCGGCACATGTGTGGGAGTGCGTGTGAAGGGGGCACATGCGAGAGAGAGAGGAAAATGTGTTAGTCGCTCCTCGACGCTGGGGCCCGCCGACAGAGGGCCACCTGTGAGCCCCGCGAGGAGGTACTCGGGAGGGGGGCTCCCCCGCTCCCGGAGTCCGTTCCCGCTATGGGGGCGCACAGTCGGCCACTGGTGGCAGGCAGCTGCGGGTGGAACAGTGGGGGCCAGTCACACAGGGACAGGAAAAGCAAGAAAGTGCGGCAGGGTGCTCAGTGGACACGTTACACAAACAACGCGGAGTGGTATCAATATGGCCTTCGAGAGTAAGTGCTAGCAGAAATCGCTTTCTCCAGAAAATAGTCACTTCGTCTCGCGTGCACGTTTATAAGTAGGTATGCCACTTGGCCACCACCTCAGTAGGCAATTCTTCAATATATCGCAACGTTATAATGATAAAAAGCCACAATCAACTAGACGCTTGTCCAACGTGCACAAGGTGTCCGTACATAAATATCGAGAGTCGATAAAAAAAAAAAAACCCGACTGAAAGTATCCTTACTATAAAAAAGCTAAAGATACGTTATCTTTTTCAGTGATAAGGCCACTTGATAACAACAATTTACCAGGGTTATATTAAATTAACTTAGCAACGTGGTCTGTTGGCTGTATGTGGGTATTCTCGTGTGCTTATGAACTTGACTGCTTTTCTGATAAACGCACGCGCAAATCTAGGTTGAGCTCTACATATAAATTTTTAAATGTAGATATTTTCATTTTAAGTTGAGGCTTCCTTATATAAATTTTGTAACACGCGGGTTTCTATTCTTTATTTGTAAGAGAACATTTTAGTTTAACACAATGGAATAAAATGACAGTGCTACGGTCTTACACAAGGCTGGAATTTCGGTGTACATAGTGCTTTCGCCACAAGTAATAATAATAGACGATAGGCGCGTGTTAGAGCTCATTGGTATACACAACAATGAAGGCCTTAATAGCACATCCCTCATTTATAGTCGATTATGCAATCTGGTATAATTCTATTATCGCGCAACTGTGGAGGTTTTCCAGCCCGTGCAAATGTCTGAAATTTCAGTTTCCTTTGACATTTATTGCAGTTTTATTAGAAGGAAGAAATCTGAAATATCTAGCGAGAAATCATCTAAAGAAAATAAGTTGTTTTTTTTTGTCACCTGAGCACATATCTGTTAACTTATCACGGCTATCTGCAACGTTCCTGAGTTCTCCTTTAAGAACAGTTGGCGAAATCGTGTCACACGTACAACACCATATCGCTACGTGCACCAAAATGGGATCGCCAACAATCTACGTTCTGTGCCTCGTGCAAAGTGACCCACGCTTATTGCGATTCGTCCTCATTCGTTAACAGTAACACACATAAAGAAAATAACCCCTGGATCAAGTCAGGTAAGACACTCTGTGCTGTAGCGTCATAAGACTCCCACAATAACTGATATAGAACACAAAATCAGCAACTGTGGGAGCGAAACTCATAGAAAAAAAAAGTGTCAGCAAAATTGGCCATGCGCGTTCCGCGAGAAAGGACATATTTACAAATGATGCGAAATGGCTATATATATATGCGATCTTCATGCATTCCTCAGAGCATAAGTGAAATTGTCAGCGCAGAAAGGATTCAACATGAACGGCATCGCACGTCGAAAAAAAAAAGCTGATTACCCTGAACAACTGATCACGTTTCTTTTTTTTTTTAAACTAATGGTGCCAGACATCGACACGAAGATGACTGAAATGTAAAGCCGGTGGTCCACCGCGGTGGTGTAGCGGTTGTGGTGCTGACCAGAAGGTCGCATTTCGATGGAGGTGACACAGTAGATTCCCGCGCACTGTAAGATGTCAGTGCACTTAAAGAGCACGAGATGTTCCAAATTACCGGTGGCTTCCACTACAGCGTCTCTCATAATGAGGACGTGGTTTCGGGACGTAAGACTCTATATATTATTATCACTATTACTGCAAAGCTGATGATCTACCTTCGCAAGTTAAAAAAACAGGCAGATAGAGAGAAAAAGCCCAATTAAAATATTGATGTAATCTAACCCCCCCCCCCCCCCCCCCCAAAAAAAAAAAACCTGAAGTATAAGTACACGAACCTCAAGCGCTTCCGCCTACATCGAAAATTCGATACCGTGACCTTCGCGTCGTCAGTCGATTACCTTAACTACTAGATCACCGTGGCGCGTCAGAGAGAGAGAGACAAAACTTATTGCACTAAAATTGTTTGCAGCAACAAATCTCAGCCAGGCGTGATGCCGCACACATTGCTAGCAAAAGTGAACGGTTATAATCGTAGGATTCACTTCCGGAAAAGAAAAAAAAGCTGTGTAAATCAGGCCTCGCATGTGCTGTCACTCGTACTTGTTTAGGTGCACGACAAGACAGCAGCGAAGGGAAGCACGGTTCGTCCATTTGATTCAGCCACTAAATACGAGAGCGCATTTATATTTGCTCTTGCTTTAACCTTCGTTTCCCCTAATGAATCTCCCCGTTTCCAAAACGTTGATCACTGTTATTGCTTACGCCAAGCTTCCCAATGTGCCACGGAAGTAAAAGCAAGAACCACATGACCATTATTTGCATTTGTTACCAGAACATATATTGTGAGCAAGATGATTGATATGTGAGGTGTAACGTCCCAAAACCACCATATGGTTATGAGAGATGCCGTAGTGGAGGGCTCCGGAAATTTCGACCACCTGGGGTTCTTTAACGTGCACCCAAATCTGAGCACACGGGCCTACAACATTTCCGCCTCCATCGGAAATGCAGCCGCCGCAGCCGGGATTTGATCCCGCAACCTGCGGGTCAGCAGCCGAGTACCTTAGCCACTAGACCACCGCGGCGGGGCGTGCGCAAGAACTTAATATTTCTCGGAAAGCGAAGAAAAAGTGAGTTCAACTTTCACAATCGTGAAGTAAGCCGGCAATTCGTTCCGCTTGCTCCGATTCTCGGCTTCGTTTTTGCTTATTACGTAACGCCCGTGCTCGGGCAGTTCGCGATATGCGTCGTGATACGCTGAAGCCACAAACAGAAAGGTTGTTGTGTGTGTTTTTCTTCCTTGTAAGATGAATCACATTAACGGCAGAGCAGCCAGACATATGCAAGTTACTAGCACTACAGGGTGAACTCGCAAAAACCGTACCTTGATCCATTGCCACTGCATATTCGCAGGCTTCTCACAGAAACGCATGAAAGTGCGCGCGCAGTAGATAAAGTGCTAAATTCACCAACGAGAATTCGTGCTCTTTCGTTATCTCGATATAATTTCTTTCTCAGCTGTGCTTTCGCATGCGTGTTGCAAAGACCATGCGTGGAACCGCGTACATGCCATTCCGTTTCGGAGAAGATATATCTCATACAACGGCAAAAAAATTAAGAGGCATGATGACCCGTGAGATGCCGTTCATGTTGGCCTCTTTTGCGTGGAGCAAGCAAGCTTGCTGGCATGCTTTGTGTTACACCGGGAAATACGTAATTTAAGGCACGCGTTTCACTTTGATTGACACGGTGCGCACTGAGGTTGGGATAAGGTAGTTGAATGCTTACAATCGTGCCAGTAGAGCGAAACTGAGCTCCTGTTTTGAAAAAGAGATGCGGGTTACCTTCCATAGGTGCCCAAAAGACAATCGCAGTGTGCTTATTCAATAGGTTATTCCCGCACAAACTCGCGAGAACGACCGGACGCCACTGAAAAACGAGAACTTTCAGCCTATTTCACGCGTTTTCTTATATGTTTTTTTTGGCGATGCTAATAATTGGAACACTTAGAGTTAGGTATATTAATGTTTAGAGCAGGGTAAACAAGAAGTTAGACATTGAGCCCAGATTTAGCCACAGAAAAACAACAATGTGAATAAAACTGATCAATCTCGAATTCATGAAGACCAAATGCAAATAAACACGTTGAGAACGGGACGCAGAGATGTACGCAGGCACTATAAGCTGGTGTTATACAGTGCTGTTTCAGGTGGGCTGCGTGGCGGCCTCGACTCGGAACGGTGCATTCCCGCCTCCTTTAACACTCGCATCATAGGGGGTTCATAAAATGTAAATCAAACTCTTGTCTGGAAGCAACGCAAGTAGCAGAAGAAAGGCTGCCGCTTGCTGCCAAAGCGCGTGTTTCCAATCTTTGCGTCCCGTTCTCTTCTTTTCTGTCTAAAATTTCCAACCTGCACACGAATGTCATAACACGCAATAGTACTTTCAGACAGTGACGCTGCAACTTGACTCTACAATGAGACTAGCAGGCACAAAATTCGAGCACACACTGAAGCGAAATCGTCACAGGTCACACATAGCCTATTTCGGATTTGATAGTAGACTGCATTGTTCGTGCATACTTATTCGCTGATGTAATTCTGCATAACTGAAGAAGGTGGTGAAATGCTGCAGCTCGCGGCATATGCATGTCATAGAGTGAGCACAAGGAAACAAAATAATCGAGAGAGAGAGAGAGAAAGCTGAACGAAAAAAGAACAATAGTGGCGGCCAACAGAGGGCGGGCGGGGTGCTGCGGCCGCGGGGAAGGTGCCGACGACGGCGGCGGCGGCCGCAGCTCACCTTCATCCTCCACCTCTTCTTCCTCCTCCTCGTCCGTGCTCTTGTTGTGCATGCTCTTTAGTTTCTTACGCTTATTGGCCGCTCGCCTGCGAGCTGCAAAGGTACGACCCATGTAAGGTGTCAGCAAGTCGTACAGTGCGCGCAATATGCGAGTTTCCCGACTCTCGTCCACGAACAACTGCTATGGTAAACTCGGCAAATGGACCGATAGCTAGGAACGTTAACGCGGTCTCCGATCGAAGACCGCTGAGTGCTGCACCAACGTCATCTTACTGTCGCACCAGTCCGAATGACACCAGTCTCCTTGTTAAATGAACAAAAGTAAGAGGGAAAGAGGGGGCCCATTCTTGTCACTCACAAGCACAACCATGGATGCCAAGTTAATAACGTAGTGTTGTCTTCGTATGACAAATGTCGGTAAACTATTCTCTCGGTTTGTTATATGATGTCTCCACTGATAACCAACAAATTACTGCTTCAATGAGATGGCGACTCTCTTTTTTACCCGGTGTCCACGTATAATTTGGTATAAAAGCGCAAACTATTCGGGATACTTAGATGGGTGTGAAAAAAAAAACATATGAAATAAACGCCGAAGGAGATAGACTTGGTGCAGGAACTTTCATAACAGCATATTTTAATATTCGACCCCTTCAAAACAAACCAATACGTCATAAGAACTATCAACGCATGTATATGGCAACAATAAAGCGCGCAAAGCAACCCACTCCACTGATAAACTTATCACGTATGTGTGTTAAACCTTGATTCCAGTCAACATGTCTTTTTGTTTTGTTTTTGTTTTTGCACAACTGCTGAAACACAAGACTGCAATATTAGGACTGGGAAAAGATGCGTGCAAAGCTAGCTGATTAAAAGGGGAATATTACGAGGTAGAACTCAACTAGTTTCCACAGTCTAAAGGGTGCAAGGAAATACAAGCTCATCTCGACATAGAACTATAGCTAATAATCTTATCCCGTTGGCAAATTTGCATACAGGGTAACAATACTGAAATGGCAAGGCTACTGCGAGATCGCGTGAAGTGATATTCGGACACATTTCTGCGGCAAACTTAATTTGAGTATCTCTAGGTGTGATGCATACGAATGTGCGTTTCGTGAAAACATAAAAAAAAGCATTAAAGCTCGGTGAGAGTGCAGTTCGTCTTTCAACAGCATTTTTGTTTGTTTGAGGAAGGGGTTTGGGAGAGGCATGTGGACGCTAAGCATATAGGGGCTGGACTATTTGTTTTCACAAAGAAATTGCTTATGACGTGCCCGAGAAGATGATTTCGTGCCCCTTCATACTGACCACTTAAGCTGGTTTGGTTCTACTATTATTGCTATTACTGCTATTACTGGGAAAGTGGGAAAAAAAGAACGCACAAAAGAAGCCGTGTGACATTTTCTGCAATAACTTGGCGAACTCAATCGAATGTGCGCGCGCTACGGTGCGACAAATCTAACCTCGAGAAAGAGCAGAAAATTTATGTCGCAGCGAATATCGCGGCAATTATTTGTTACTGCGCATCAAATTTTCGCGCGCTGGGCTAAGCATGCCACAGAGCACTGCACACCAACTTGTGAAAGTCACGAGAGACAGAGCGACTATATAGCTGTGCGGCTGTTTAAGGAGCTAATTTCTCTGTGACCATTCCCTTGCACATCAGCAAAATTATGCTCCAGCCACCACTGGAAGGCACATCCCCGGTCCTTTCACCGGCTTTACATAATAATAATAATAATAATAATAATAATAATAATAATAATAATAATAATAATAATAATAATAATAATAATAATAATAATAATAATAATAATAATAATAATAATAATAATAATAATAATAATAATAATAATAATAATAATAATAATAATAATAAAATAATGGACTCACCTTCCATTATGTGCATTTTCTCCTCTTCAGTCGTTCTCTCCTCCGCCAGGATTACCTCCTCTGCGTAAGGAATCAAAACACGACTATAGTAGTTGCCACGTGTGCTGTTTTACTTGGCTGGCTACTTTAATTAAGGCGGCGTATGCCAAGTGCGTACGTTAAGACACGAGCGATGAGCAATGCAGCGAAATCGGCGAGGGAGCTATGGCGGCGTCTAGGCAAACTCACCCGCTTTGCATATCCACTCGACGTAGCCGTCCAACTCCCTTTCTAGTTGCTGCTGCCTCCGAATCTTGAGAAAGGCTTGCCGGTTTTCCACCCTTTCTCTCTCTTTTGCAAACTCTCTGAAAATACCAAAGAAACATTTTAAAACGCGAACGCAAAATGTGCTATCGCATTTGCCTTCCGCTTGCGGTACAGTGAGTGCTGAGATCGCAAGAAGAGATCATTTTATATACTGCTGGATGTATATTAAAGTTGCTAGTGCATTCGTGTACTCTCTGAAAGAAGCTCATGGTTATGAAACATTTTTTGACATAAGGCGTCGCAATACAGAAGCACGATAACAAACGTTTCGGCTCCTCTCTAGAGTTGACTGAATTAATTTCTGGGCCACAGCGTTATAAACTGTGCAGTGTTCGGAAATGTAAGGTGACTCTTCTGCCTAGCGTCTAACGTGTACCGGCTTCGTCTAGTTACTCTTCGGCGCATTACCGTTTTGATTGTAGAAAGTTAATGTACGCGTTAATCAATTAAATTCGCCTCAGTTTAGTTGACAATACCGTAGATTTTGAAAACGTTTATCTACAAGGAGCCTTCCTGCCGTAAGCATTTCAGCTTTATATTTGGTCCCCAATCGCTTCGTTACGTACGGCCGCCAATTTTCAAACCTGGACGCACGAGTGTCGAAGTCAATAAGCGCCAGTTCCGAACATCCAGTTGTGCGGTTCTCGAAACAGCCTGGCCGAAGAAAGCGGTGCCGGACTGTTGATCGCGCGCATGCACGTATTCTCGTTCACTTCACCACCGTGCTTCGTAATACGGCGCTAATCGGCTGAGTCCCGCGGTCAGCGCACGCCCGTTCAGGTGAAAAAAAATAGGCGGCTGAACACTTTTTTGTGTTTCTGATTGGAACTCTTTATTCGGTAACGTCTATTCGTTTGCGAATGAGCCACGCATGCACGCGTGCCCGCACTCACGCATGAAGCGCAAATATGCAGAAAATAATGTAGTTTGACCGAAGCATGCCAAAAAATATGGTGTCAACATTCCATTCTAGTCCTAAACCAATGCATTCACAAGCTATTCGTGACGTATTCGTTACAACTTCTTACGAGAACTTGTAAAACATATATGTGGTTAAAGACGGCGGTCTATCCTTGGTGGCACTGCGTAAAAAAATGTCGTGTTCAAATAAAACGAAGTAAACAACTTCCTGCTAACCTAAGACACTATTTAAAAAAAAAAACCTGTATTGATATTTTTTATCCAATTCAAATGGAGTGTCAGGCATCAGTAACAAAAGTGGCTAAAATTTTAATTTTATATATTTATATCTTTAAACTTTTTTGTATTGATACAAACTAGCTTGATGATAAGGATTCACACGCTTTTTTTTCATGTATTGTTTGATTAACGTGTGTTCTTGGCAAACAAAATGCAATTGAATTGAACCTGGGGTAGATATTCACCATTACTCCCAATGTGTCTTTCTATCGTAGTTCTAAATTTATTTATCCTCAAATACAGCGCCAAAATACAAAGAGACAGGTACGGACACACATGCTTTCGTACCATGCTCCTTCTCGCGTTTCTTTGTGTGTTTGAGCTGCATTAATTGATGAATATACACGAACTGGCCCAAATTTCAGTGCTACACTAACTTCATATCAAGAACGAAAAGAACTCAGCTTCCACATTCTGACAGAAATGTGTGCATGTTTCTGTGAGATGATATAAACCGGTGGCATAAGTGGCTTAGCTTAATATTTGATAACTTAATAAAGAGCATGATAGCTTGTTGGACAGGCCCCGTATTGAACGGACTCGCGACATTAACGTGCGTGCAATGGGAACCTACAGGAGAGTTTCCAAACGAGCATGATGAGGTCGCGTTTCTACAAAACAAACTTTCGCTTAGCAAAATCGAAGCATGCAGTTGCGTTTGCTTGACGGCTAATTTCTGAAACAGTATCTTCTGGTGCACTGCCCTGCATGTACTTGCTACGCAGGTTCTTGGCAATTTAGCATTGCAAAGATTGAGGTTACAGCTATGGCACTGCTGGATCAGGGCTGGAACAGTGATAGCTTCTCTGTGTCGTTCTAATTGTAGCGAAAAAGAACGCGCGGCAGAAAAGAGCAGGCGCCAATTGAACTCACCCACTAAGAACACCGAGAACTAAGTTGAGCATGAAAAATGATCCCAGGATGATGAGAGGTACGAAATACACCCAGTTAAATGAGTTACCCAAGGCATCATTTGTCTGCAAAGAGAAATAGTGGCGCAGTTAGAGGAGAGGGGTGGGTGGACGACAAGATCTGATTACAACACGAAAATAACGCGTCATGGCTATTTTATGGTATCCAACGCATTCCATGGCTGTGTAAAAATAGAAGAAACTTGACTCTTTGGTTAGGAAACTCTTCTAGAATTAGTTCGCCAGCGACCTGTGCTACGTGAAACATTGAAAGGAAACAAAAAAACATACTGTCTTCATTAGAAGCCGTAACAATGTTATCTCAATGGCAGTCACGCGCCATTTAAGCTGCTAGAAACAAATGCCGTGGAAAAGAAGGTGAGAGGACTAGCTTCCAACTCAGAAAAGCAGCAGCGCTGTGCCACCTGAAAGTTCTGTGTTCACCAAACTTCCTATTTCGTCCTTTTTCTTCAGCAATACACCGTTCTTAACGGCAGCCTCATTAAGTAAGTGAGCCACTTACCCAGTACAAAATGGCCGTCCAACCCTCCATGGTGATGCATTGAAAAACAGTTAACATGGCGAAAAAGATGTTGTCGAAGCTAGTGATGCCGTAGTTTGGGCCTATCCAGCCCTCCTTGCACATAGAGACGTTGTGGTCGCAAATGTACGCCCCGGAAGGATGCGACGAGTTTAACGGAGAATCCTGGTAGCAAGGCGTCTCCTGCTCGCCCTCCGGAACGATCTCGTCTGCGTGAGACGACAGAGTGTTTCAGTATGTGATAACACTGCTTATAACAATCAGAGCAACTTCTTGCTTCAAAGTTCTCTTGAACAAATATTTCCCAGGAGGGACTGGGAACGCGTAAGCGAAAGCCGTCGACAAGTAGAAAAAAAAAAGATCTTGAATACTTCAGCGAATTCAACCCTTAAAAGGCAGAAGGTTAGAAGGACTGGATGGGGTTCACCTGAAGGAACTCAACTGTAATGATCGTTCGCTTGGAGTGCATAAGTGGCTGATTTCTGTCAATGTATTTTTGGAAAGCAGATATTAAATGATGAAGCAAGCACTGCATAAGGAAGTCAAGAATGTATATGTGGAGCGTTTTGCCTCAGGATAAACAAAATTGTCTATGGTGACCTAGCATAGCAGCATAGCGGATAGGGTGCGCGAGAGTTTCCTTAGCACTGACGCATTTATTATACTGGATTTACAACGAATATGCTCCCCCATATCAAAATAACAGTGTGAGCAACCAGGGTAGAGTTGGCCTAGTTCAACTTTTGAAAGTACACTGCTAATGATGCCACGGCCAGTCGGCGTCTGATTTCACGCTGTTCTGTTTCGTGAATATGGTTTGTGAGTTTTCTAACCATATTCTGGAAACGTGACATTTAAGTATACAGTGTGCATAGAAAATACCATTCTCTGCTATAACACGACGTTGGCCACTGCCCCCTGATGTGCTTTCATTCATCTGCAATGATGCTGGGCAGGGCTCCAAAGCCATGAGTCATGAAAGGGCTTTAAATTGGGGGGTCACTGCCTGACGATCGTTGAAGGGGGACAGAAAGGTGAACGCGCAATAACTTATGATGAACCAATGAGCATCTTCGAGAAACGGTATGACGCATGTTTTTTTTTGTTCGTGATACAAATGAGAGTAATAGTGTAACAGGTGGGATAGAGTATGTAAGGAATAACATCGCTCAGCTCACTGCAGAAACAAGACATATAAGTGATTCTCGGCACTTGAGTGCTAATATCAGTGCGCCCAACATTCACGCTCACTGTTCACGTATAGCTTCAGCACTTTCGTGAAAACCAACATGAGTTCTTCACGTTGTTTTAGAAGAGAAAGCCTTAGTTATCAAAGGAGTGTATGTGAAATCCTACCCACGAGTGGCAAGAGCTGATAGTTAATCTTTGCAAAGTGAAAAAGCATCACTGGCTTCACTGAGTGGTATAGTGTTTTTACTGTCAGGGATCTTCGCACCACGACAAGCCTAAACAAAGGATTTTTTTACACGTTCACTCTTAATTCAACTTGTAGACATCGTCAGGTATGTATTAAACATTAAAAGCAAAAAATGACAAACAATACGTGTAGTCTGTCTGGGCTCTTTGAAAGTTCATTTTTTTACTTGAGTGCCTTTTGACACTAGTCTAATCGCTTGCGCAGCAGCTTCCGAACTGTTGAAAAAGATTACGTGCAAAGACTTGTTGTTTAGAGCTTCTGCAATGTTTTTCTTATTCTTGCAAGCGTATAACACCGCAAATAGGGAAAAAAAGAGAAGTGGTCCAGCGTTTGTCTCCGAAAAGAGACACGACGCACATCCACATGACAGGAAAGAGACTGAAATGCACGGAGACTAAACAGGGAAGCTTCGAGTTGGCTGAGCTACGTTGGGAGAATGGGTGAGAAGGGTATAGTGATGGAAGTATACTAAGACAGATAAGAAGCGGAAGGTACAAAGACGAAAAGAGAGATAGGGTAGGCGTGGAACGCACACACATAGAGCATGAGTACTCACTTGCATCTTCTAAACTGTAGCATGTTTTGTGTAAAGCACCGCTGTAAAATTCAAGGCCAATAATGGCAAATATAACGATGGCAAAGAGAACAAGAAGTCCTATTTGAAGCAATGGCGCCATGGCTTTGATGATGGACTTCAACACTACTTGAAGGCCTGGAAGAGGAGCAAGAAACGTAGTAAGTAGGCGTTCACGTTAGAAATCTTCGAAAATATTGGATAAGAAGAGAAAAAAAAAGAGCTTTGAAGCTTTCACAAAAAGCAGAAGGAATTCATTTATTTAGCAACGAGCACTCACAGCTTAGTGCCTCCTGGGGCTGGTAATTTTTGATAGTAACTTGAGAAATTTATATGCAGAAATTGCAGCCAGTAGAAGCTAGCGACACACCCGAATCCCACCTATGATGATTTAGCTTGTTTTAAAAGACTCTTATTGCACGAGACAAACGAATCTCGCTTTTAGCACATTTTCTGAGGCCTTCGTTCACGGTATGCGCTTAATTCACTGCAGCACTTACGACACTCAAGCTTGCATGCACTCGTGCGCTGACACTGTAACGGGCTATACACGGCTGCCACTCTAACGGGAAAGTGAGCGAATGTTTTCAGTAGCCTGCACGAGTACAAAAGTGTACTTCTATAGCTCTGCCTCGATTTTTTAGACATAAGATATGGCTCTTCTATAGATAAGATATAGATAGATATAACATATAGCTCTTCTATAGGTCTGCCTCCATAGAATTAGACACAAGATAGTGTGAAAGCAGGAATAGTAGCTACTGAAACTGCACTACTGTCTCTGGCAGTCGGGGGGAGGGGGTGCAGCCGCAAAGTACACACAGTGCAATAATATAACTGTTTCCCAAATTCATTATTGAATAGTGTATACGATGTAGAGTTTTCCGCTCACGACTGTAGTAGTGTTAGGGCGAGTCTCGTACTTGTTCTCATGACATCCGATAGAAACAACAGTGATAACGACAGTTGAGGCCACAAAAGTGCAGTACAAGACAGAGTTGACGAGTATACAGTGCTGGCGGGTTACAACGGGGTTGACAGCGGCGCGGCGGCTCATTTTATCGAGACGCCCCGGCGCTGTTGCAAGGCCGCGGCCCAAGGGAAGACTCACTTGGGATTCCGGAGACCAGCTTCAAGGGTCGAAGCACCCTGATGGCTCTCAAGGTTCTGAGATCTAAATCTAAATCCTCCGGTACAAAGTAGGTAACAAACCTGCAAGCAAACAAGGGGAGCGGGATGCTCTAACTACGGGTCTACGCTACACACAGCGGCCCCTACAGCGCCGCACACTACACATGCACGTCGCCGCTACAAATCGCTCGCAGCAAGCAGCAGCGTTCACACAAACTTCCTGCCCGGTGAGCACGCAACAGCAGCTCACTTTGACGAACGTTACACGTTCACGGCGGCATATGTGAACGTGGTGCTTCGCTCTTCTCGTCATGTGAGGTCAAATTTCTTATTTTAGTATGTGCAAAATTATTTTAAAAAACACATCAAACGGACTCGAATTCACAAATATTTTGAAACAACAAAGTCCAGCTGATCTTGTTTCTCTAAATATCAAGGGCGACGGTGGCCAGCCAATGGCAATCGAACAATGAACTCGTTCGTTCTAATTTCAGCGTTCGGCTCATTCTGTTCAAAAGATTTACAACTCGCGCCAACGCCCATTTCAGTTTTCGTGCTGTTAATTACTCGTTCCGTGTACACACGTGCGTATTTCTGTGAGATGATTGCAAAAGTTATCCCCTATCTATTGAAATCGCGATGTTTTGTAAAAATCCAATTTGCACTGCCTCTATCACTTTGTTGGTTGAAGGCATATATAAAAACAAAAACGCTGAGTAGAAGCAAGAGCCAGATGTTTTCAATCTCAAAAATGGCAACTGTGTTGCCCTTATTTACTTAAATGCAAAATTACAAAATCCACAGTCCACTCTCCTTGTATCTTCATCTGTCTTTCTCAAAAGACCGACCAAGTCGACATATAAAAGAAAATACATTAGCTGCAGGTAGATACAACAAATTCTTTTCCCTATAAGTTTATTCACGCCACAAACAAAAAGAGTGCATTTGATTGTTTTTTGCCTCGGCAGTAGCACGCGTGGGTGAAATACTTTTGGTGTTGGTGCTCATATGAGCAAAGTGTTATATCATAGGTACGTAGCAATGCATAATCCACTGATTGGGCCCCAAATCGCATTTCCAACAGGACCATTTAAAGTGAAAGATCAATATAAACTGATGAGAATAGACGCACTCTAGCAAACACCAGATTTTGTTGTTGTTATAGCTACCACTGGCTTTTAGCTTTGTACGTACACTTCAGTAGCAAAATAAATAAATAAATAAATAAATAAATAAATAAATAAATAAATCAGTGGGGCCATAGGGGCTTTTGCGCATCAAAATTGGTACTGTCGGGCTTCATGAGCTCAAAACCGTATACATCAAGTATACGCAAAGTGTTTGAAAGCAATGGTGGTTGGTCACATTATTGCGCAAAAAACGTAACACAGAGTAATGCACAGTCTTCTTTGTCACCTTTTTTTTGTTGCTTGCCCTCAGTGCGAAGCAATTTTTTTCGGTCACACCACAAGTTTTTCGGTGCGTAGCCTGTAGTATTGAGTGCAAACTTGATACAGCGATTAGCACCCATATTGGCATCAACGCGTATGCTCGGAGGATGTATTTGCATATTTGGCGAATAGAATATTGCTTACCAGAGACGACTCACAAAGTGCTCGTGTATTTAGGGGCAAGTTAAATAACCACTGATGATCAAAATAATTTCGATGTCACCCACTGCGGTACGCCTAAACAGATCAAGCCTGGCCTCGGCAGGGTAATTCTCCAAGCTGAAACGGTAATCAGTGCTGGAAGACAAAATGAGGTGAGAAGGGAGAAAAGGTCACTGAAGTCAATGTGGCCTCAAGTTGATGACGTTTAGCTGCAACGAAGGAGAAATTATATTAGCGTCAAAATAAGCAGGTAGTCAACCAATGTTAGTCTATGTAAAAATCGATGTTAACGGAGGCTTCACGAAACCGTTTCTATGAGAAAAGGAACAATTGAAAGGCAACCCTCCCATGGAAGATTTTGAAGAAAGTTCACGAAGCGAAGACACAGAAGACAATCAGACAGCCAAAAGCCAAAGGTACAGTTACGCTTAGAATGAGTCCACATTACTTTTCATTTGCAGAAGCCGTTTTTTGCCAGGCCAGCTCTCTTTAATTTACCTTTTATGAGCTTGTAGCTGCTCGTGCGGACAGTTCTACTTTAACAAATTATTGATTGATTAACTTAATCGGAAATCGCAGAATCTTCTCAAGAAGATTCTGCGATTTTTGATTAGGTCAATCCACTCCCCACCATTCATTAAGTCAATCCACCCACCAGAAAAGATAGAAAAGAAATGCAACTTACATTATCCCCACAATGAATGCATTCTTGAAAGTTACAACTGCTTGCTGATACCTTTCCACTTCGACGTGAGGAGGCATGTTCAAGAACACGTTTACTGTACACGCGTTCCAATGCTTGCGCCCACTTTCACCGCGTCAACACCCCCTCCTCCACACACTCTCTCTCTTTCTTCCTGAGCATGTCGCAGCTGCTTGCGTCCGGCCCCGGAAGACTGATGGAGCCCCATAGAAAACACCAACAACCATTGATGCAACACACAAGCTACTATGCGCTCTAAGGAAAAGAGACAACACAGGTTGATGCGCTAACTAACAATTGACATTATATAGAGTACGGACAGACTAATGTACAGGTTATACGTGGCACTGCATTACAAGATGAAGTCGTACCAACTAGTCCTCGTTGCAGCATTATTACCGTTATGAGAAACAAGAACGCGAAGAGCGAGAGGGTGTTTTCATGTCTCGTTATCCCAGAGCTTAGTCAAAATGCCGAGTTTTTCTGCTGCCTTAACGTAACCCTTTCTCGTGATAAGCGTGTACCTCTCATAGAACGCTAGGCACACGCTATAAATAAACGGGCGGACAAAGTTATCACACCGCCTTTCTATACACATTGACGCGAGTATCAGCGTGCTAAAGCCTCTAGCGTCCATCGCATTTAGCGCCAGTCCATTTTAGGAACGCAGTGCCGACTTCCTTGATCACGTCCGAGACAGCCACGCGTGAACAGCCTCCATCGGGTTAGTGTTCGGGCTTTTCGGAGCGACGGACGCCCGCTGTGGTTGCTCAGTTTTATCCCACATCTTTTTTTCGCCTGTTTGCGCTCAAGGCGAATAAAAAGAAGACACGCCAAAGAACGGGTAGGCAATATGTGGCTCAAACGGCCGATTTTTTGTCTGTAAATAGATCCTCAGATCTCCAGGCAGTTATGGCGGTAGACTGTTACTGGATATTAAAACATATTCTACTGTGGCACTAACAGTGCATCACTTGCACATTCGATACGGCTGCTTAGCGCGGGAAGCGCGGCTTGTTGGTTTCTGATTGTTTATTTGCGAACAGCCATAAATTGTAGAAATGCTGCACAACTAAGCTCCATTGCTTTTCAGGTCATCTTCTTATAGTAGTGCTGTTTGTAAGTTGCAGTGCTCCAAAACTAAGCTGTTATTTTATACGCAGCTGCCACGACATAGTTTTCATTTTGAGAGAAACATCTGAACGACTGCTTGCAGGCTAGTATATACGGCTGTAATCGTTTAGTGATTCAAATACCTGTACTTCATGGCGTTACTGTTCATAAAGCCATGACACACACATAATGCGAACGAACATTTTAGCCTTTTACAGCTATAATTTTAATAATGAATTATGTGGAATGGTCAAACAGAACTCACGATAAAATAATGAAGAAGACATATTCATGAAAGGTGATTCATTGGATAATCCATAATCGTAATTACCGATGAGGTGAAGAAGGTCCTACAAGGCATGTCTCGCAGAAAGGCAGCAGTAAAACGCGGCATAACAACTGATTCAATCAAAGATGGAGAAAATTATAGCTAATAAGTTACCGACGCCCTGCTCATTATGACTTGAAAGTAATGAATTAAAATGTGCAAGTGAATTGAAAAATATGGAAATATTATGATAATACGATAATTTAGAGACGAAAAACTTGACTATCCAGACCGATCAGCCTTCTTTTCGAGTTAAACAAAACATTCACAAAGATAACGTCACGTAAGTTAAGAGACACAATTGATTTGACCCAGACCTTCACGTAGACAACAAACATGTTTTAGAAAAGGGTAATCTACGATGGATGACATTAAATTTGATTAAATAAATAACTAAGAAATTTGGCGAATGCAAAAAAAGCAGCTTTATGTGACATCGATTAAGAAAAGGCATTCGACTTGGTACAGATACCAGTGGTTTTGGAGGCATTGCGTTGGAAGGATTGCATAAAACACATGTGAATACCATAGCGAATACCTACAGAGATTATTCAGCTACTCTGTTCGTTCTCGAGCAGAACACAAAAATCCCGTTTGAGAAACGCTTCCTACAACGAAGTACAATATCTCCATTATTGTTCACTGCATGTATTAGAATAAGTACTTAAATGATTATATAAGAAAAAAAATGTGAATGTAGTTAAGCGGAGAACATCATAGTAGTTTACAGCTCGTAGCATCTAATTGCAAAAAAAGTTATTAAATGCATAAACCCAGAAAGCGTCCTGGTAGCGTTGAAGGTAAATTGGTAGAAAAGCGGAAGGAAGCAGACAAAGGGAAAAGGCAGAAAACAATTACAGTATTCCAGGCAGTCCAGCGAGACAGCGAACGTTCGGAATAGACAACCGGACCCAACAGGGTTAGTAGAAGGGTACATACATTTAGATCAAATAATAACAGGGGAGCCCACTCGTGCTGAGGAAATTCACCGAAGAATAATTGTAAGCCGCCGCGCGTACGGGAAGCATTCTCAACTCACCAGTGGTGACTTACCATTGTCTACGAAGCGGAACGGGTACAAAAATGATATTTTGCCAATACTCCCATAAGACACAGAAATCTCGACAATAAGGAAGAAACTCCAGATGTTAAGGTGCGCAGAGTGCGATGTAACAAAAAATGAAGTTGCAACTTCAAGAGGTAGAAAGACAGCACAGTGTACCAGAGAATCTCCCAGATATTAAAAGGAAAAAAGAACTCACAGCTTTGCCGCAAAGGCGAAGCAATGAATGCAATAGCAACAAATTGGAACGTCATGCAAAAA